GACAAAAATGGCGGCCATTTTGAAAATAGGCGAGCTTTTGAACCAGGAGTCATAGGGGAGTTTTCTGTATGGATGTTGAACAGAAATAACTTAAAACAGGAATCCTATCGACAGAGGTTTTAAAACGTGCCACTATTGTTGACGGATGTCATTTGTTGTTGCTGCATTGGTTTCTTCATTCATTGTCTTCTTTCTTTGTCTTCTTTCTTTGTCATCTTTCTTTGTCTTCTTTCTTTGTCTTGATTTGATTGTGATGTTAGTTATCTTTCTTCAGGGTCCACAGACTTGAGACTGCGCGTAGGTGGGTTAAACGTTTTGATCCGGCCGGAAAACTCTCCCCTTCCCCTTACTGATGTTCTTATGTTCATCTGTCTTCTTAGTTCACCCTCTTTGCGGAGAATATACTGTTTCATTTACATTTGTTAATGTTCTCTTCTCTCATTAATTTTCCAGTGCTTCATGATGATATTCTCCTGCATATTGTATTTAGTACATATCCATTTATTTCTTGTTATAGCTTTCTTAGTATATGAATTTAGTGTGTTACTCCTGTAACCTTGACGTTGTAGTTTATTTCCCAGGCTGGTAACTCTGTTTGTTGCATCTTCCATTTGACTGCAGATTCTTGAAATCCTTATTATTTGTGATATAAATATTCCATAGGACTGGTTTCTAGGAATATTTCCGGATAAATCTGGATATGAGACTATTTAGAAATTGAAGTTTTCCCTTTTGTCGTATAGTTTTGTTGTGATTTGTTTATTTACTATTTTCATTTGTATGTCCAGAAAAGTTGTTTCTGTATCCTTCTCATTTTCCTTGTTTAACACTAGTTCTTCAGGATAGATGTTATTCATATCAGTCTCCATTTCTCCGTCGTTGTTTATTGTACATAAATCATCGATGAATCTTGTAGTTTTAGCATATTTTAGTACTTTGGAATAGTCTTCCCTATACATTTTCTCAATGGCTTGAAATTCATAACTGTATAAGTATAGGTTTGCCATATATGGCGCCGGATCGATTCCCATCGGTATTCCAATTTTCTCTCTTAGAATTGATTTCCCTGCTTTAAAGTAAGCTGTGTCTACGATGAAATCCACTAGATCATTGCACTCTCCTTTGGTATATGCCTTTTTATTATCCGCCTTTCCACCCCATTTGGCTTCATCTCCGCCTACTGTTATCTTTTGGTTAGTTCCTCCTCTGAAGGCTTTATCTATAACCCATTTCAGTTTTTCCTTTATGTCAGTTAGATTAATCTTTGTGTATAGTGTAGAGAAATCATACGAGGCTATGTTCCTTGCCCCATTCCTTAAATTTACACTTTTTATGTTATCTAACATATTTTGGTTATTGTCGCTAATCCACATCCTATTGGCACCTGTATAATCCTTAATCTTCTCACAGTAACTTTTGTTAGTATATTGCACTAGTTTAAGAATTTTGGTCAGTTTTTTGGCAGCTGGTTTTACAGAACTTTTCTTTGAGCCAATGATATATCTAAATTTAATTGGCTGTTTATGCATTTTAATTGTAAGATGAATCCTTGGTATAATATTTTGTTCTTCTCCCTGTTCAATCTTGAATTTTGTTTTCATTGTCTCTTTGATTTCCTTCACTATATCTTCTTCTTCTTTATCTTCTATCCTTTGATAGGTGTCATTTCCAATTTCCTCTTTAATCTTCTTTATGTAGTATTGTTTGCACATAAACCCAATATTATTTGCTGCCTTATCAATGGGTACAATGGCATATTTTTCCTTGAGTTGATTGAGTTCTTCCATAGCATTTTGGTCATTTAGTGTTTGCTTTGGATTTTTAATGTGTCTAAATTTTGTATTTTGAAGTAACTTAATCTTTTCTTTAACCTTTTCCATTACAGTATTTTTCCATTCATTTAAGTATACTTTTGAAACTTTTTCATTTTTTGTCCAACTTATGGCGTACTCATCTATTCCTTTCTTTATTTCTTCTTTTGCTTTTCTGAAGTTTATGTTTCGTTTTTCTCTATAGCCAGGACCTTTACTGAATAGCTTTCTCAATTTTGAATTTTGTATAATCTTCAGATTTCCTGTTATGACGTGACCATGGTCTTCATCCTTAAATTCAGATGTATTACAATCGCATTCTCCTATATCGTTGCCTTCGTCGATACTTTCTGTAATCTCACTATAGTTGAACAATTTATTCCTTATTGGCTTTGTGTATGTATAGACAATACCTGGTGGTTCCTTATTTTTGATACTTGGAGGTATTGTCTTGATCACTTCTTCATCTCTCAAGATATTTGCAATGTTGATTACTTCTACTGCTTTGTTTTCAAATAGTATTTTACAGAATTTGGTTGGTTTCTTTTTCCTATTCTTGGTTTTTAGTTTATTGTTTTTCCTGAGTTTTGATTGGATTCTGTCCTCCAGAGTAATTTTAAGTCGTGTGTGTAGTCTATCATTATCTTCTATATTTATCATTCCAAGTTTTTTCAATTCTGTCTTCTTCATTTGTGGGACTAATCTTAAGATTGTTTTCATACCTGCCAGTACATTTCCGTTGCTTTGTTCCACTATAGTTTCAAATACGCCATTGGCTTTTAATGCCTTTTCTTTTCGGTGGTTTCCCTTTGGTCTTTTGTTTTTCTTCTTCCTTTTATTATCAAAGTCGTTGTATATTACATCATCTTCTGTTCTTTGCTGAAGATTTTTTTCCAGTCTATTGTTTAATCCATATGGGTGTACACATTGAAATTTCTTTATCCAGTATGACTCCTTGTCCTCTCTTTGTTTTTGGTCTGCTGCCTTTTTGATTTCATATTTTTTACTTAGTTTGCTGATTTTCTTATCCTCTATTGGAACTCTTTCAATTATTTGTACATTATATTCTGAATCTTTACATGGGCCTTCATTGAAGTGATTCGCAAAGATCATACTGTTAGTTCCCTTGTTGTTTTTTATCCTACTTCTGTGGTCATTGAATCTTGCTTTAACTGTCTGGCCTGTTTGTCCAACATACTGAATACCGCATGATGTACATGTAGCCAAGTAGATCACATTTTTTGTTTCACAGGACACTTCATTAAGGTCGTTTGTCCTGATTTTATACTGTTTACCAGTGTTATCGGACGGACGCAAGGACGGACAGACGAGTGAGTGATTGCAAAAGCTCACCATGTGAGCTAAACAGGCTTGCACCCACCTGAAAATCCATCTGCACCCACTTGAAAAGAAGGAAAAGCATGAAAAATGGGCATATTTTGACGAATTTTGGTCTGAATTTTGAAAATGAGAATATTGCACCCACTTGAGTAGAAATAGTGTGGAGAACACTGAATACAATATGATAATTTAATGCTATTGTACTTTCAGAACTTGTGAAGAATGGACCAAGAAGAATGGAGTCTGGAAATGTTCCAGTGATTTCTGGAACAGTGATTATGAAAAAGTGAATTACTAAAACTATTTGTATTGATGATGGAACACTAGTTATCTACCAAGCTACTGTCTAGGTTATGATGACTTCCATAAACAAGACAAAAATCCAGTACCTCAAAATTAATTCCAACATATCTGCCAAATGCATATGATGATTCACTTTCATATCCATGTCATGTTAGTGATAAATGACTTATTTTTCTGATAAATCATATCTTTCTTGAGGTTAATTTAGTGTTCAAGTCAAATTCCTGATATTTACCATATGCTTTCAATTGTTAAAAATAAAATTGTGTTAGAAAATAAATATAATCTGGATAATTTGCATAGTAAAGTTGCATTGTAAGAATAACAGTTAAGTATACATTTATTTATCTCAACTAATTTAACTCGACTAATCAGCATCAGGTACTTTAGTTCGAGAAATATGAATTATTTGTACTCCTTGGGCCAATAGACTAGATACGGGTAGAAATAATCTTGTGTACGTCATTAAATATTCAAAATTCAAAATTGTTTTTGATTCTTTAGCACATCTAGAACGACTTTAAAATAAATTATTTTATTTAGCATGAAAGCAAAACCATGAAAATGACCATTCATTATCCAATAACTGGCTATAAATGCTAAATACAAGAGGATATTACAAGTACTGCTTTTATTTCATTTTAATTTCTATTAACATTTTATTGGAACCAGACCAAACATTATTTGTATGATATGCTTACTGTGAATGTCACTTTTTGTGAGTTGAGCTATAAATACTTTATTTCATGTGAAAAATTTGTATAACATATGAAAAGTGCTTCACCATCAAATGTGTTAAATGCTGAGCCTCATACATTCTGTAGCGTCTCAATCATAAGTCACCCATATCAACAAAAGCACCAGTTCCATCTATCTATCAACACATTGATCAAATGTAAAACAGCTCAAACTGGCCATGTCAGAGCTTGCAATTTTGATCTGTCATTCAAGTTTTTACCAAAGACAATGAAAGATGGCGAAATTAGTTGAGTCACACATGATTCATTCATTTTTAATTAAAGTGTTGCCATCTTTTCAATCAAGAGTTTTTTAAAAACATGCACTTTGTCAAAAGTATGAATGCACTTCTAATGATTTCTGAACTTTGAATGCTCAAGTGCTCTTTTCTATGTGAATTATTTTGTTCTTGCTTCAATATAAATGCAAATCAAGCTTTGTTTTGAATTTGATTGAGTGTGTTTCAATGATTATTTGATCCTTTCTTCTTCTAAACTATGCATAGTGCCCCTTTAAATCAATATGTAAAATTAAGCTAAAATTAAAGAGCCACTGCAGTATTAGCCTCGATTATAGTGATACTATTGCTTGTAGTGAAAATATTTTCTGATATTATCTGCTAATATTACTACAAACATGCCTATAATGCATTATTCAGATTTAGGCAACATATACATGTATCACTGTGCCTTTCAAGTAAATGAAAAATTATTTACAATTATCAGTACCAGGTCACCCTGATCTAAGTATCTTTAACATACTGTATTGGCTGCTTAACCTTACTCAAACAACTTTGAATGCTCTGCTCTGCCTGGGAATTTGGGAAGGGAGTATCTAGATCACAGGATCTATACACAAAGGATTCTAAATTGTTGCAGTAAATGTACACAGGTATTTTGCTCTTAAAATCTGGATATAATTAGGATAATTATCAAACCATTGCAGTAAATTGAGCTGAATTAAAATGTTCTTCACTCATTTTTGCTATCCCAGCCTATAGTGAGGCGCAGTTTAGGTATACTTTTAAGGCGCAGTTTTGGTATACTCATGAGGTGTACTTTAGGCGCAATTTACAGGCGCAGTCCTGTGTTAAAATCCCATAGGCAGGCGCGTTTCAATTATGCTAATTATACCAATAGTATACCTAGAGGCGCAGTATTGGTATACGCCTCATATCAGGTATATACCTCATATCAGGTATACGCCTCATGTCAGGTATACGCCTCATTATACCTGTTTTATAGGTATTATTTTGATATATACCTGCTTTTCAGGTATCGCCTGTTAAGAGGTATACTATTCCTATCATTTTGATTTATCGGGGCAGCAACTAGGGCTTATTATTGGTAAATACCTACTTTTCAGGTATACGCCTGATAAGAGGTACATACCTAGTTTGTTGGTATAGTTTTATTTCTTAGTTGTTGTGAGGAAAGTGTTTGGTAAATGTAGTAACCTCCATAATTAAATGAGTTGTACATTTAGTTTGAATTGCTTTGTTGTTTTCTAGCAATAGCTTGTCTCATTAATAAGATACAGGTCTATGAAAACTTTAAAATGATGCAGCAAAAATTACGTAATATTCTTATATAAATTATATGTCAATTTCCTATATATTGTATTTTTGTTTTATATTTTAAATTTTACCATATTTTGAATTTTTATTATTTTCAGGCATCTTACTTTAGGTCTCCCAGGCTTTTTGATTATTTTTTAACAATTTTTGATAAGACGAAATTGAGGAGTTGAAAGGACAATTTATTGATCTATTTATCCAATATATAATCTGTCTCTCTTATGATCCTAATCAAATACTATGATAAAAATGGAAAATTTTTCGGAAATATATTGCTTGCAAATTCTCTAAGTTTTTGAGGCGTACTTTTGGTATATCTATCTGTAGATTTAATCATTAGAGTTTTTAAGGCGCACTTTTGGTATATACGCCTGTAAATAAGGTATATAATGAAAATGTGTAAGTTTTTGAGGTGCACTTTTAGTATATACGCCTTGAAATGAGGTATATAATGAAAATGTATAAGTTTTTGAGGCGTACTTTTGGTACATACGCCTGGAAATGAGGTATATAATGAAAATGTTAAAGTAAATGAGGTATTGATTTGGTATACGCCTCAAGAATACCTGAAAAATGAGGCGTACTTTTGGTATATACCTGTAAGTGAGGCGTAAATGAGGTATACTTTTGGTATACGCCTGCTATACCTGTCAATAGGCTGGGATATTGTTACTAATCTTAACTTATAAAGTTATTTCATAAACTGGATGTATATTTGTCTCTTTCACTTTGTTAGAAAATATACACACGCAGGTGACATTTAATATTTAACTTTTTTTTTATTTATCATGTTTTATTCAAATTCAAAATTTGTAGATTTATTCAGAAAACCTACAATATCACGATGTATTGCCTTAGGACACTCTTGCAGGGGCGGATCTAGGAACCAACAAGGGGTTCCCAGATTGTGCATTAAAAAAACTTTGGACTTGTTATGCGTATTACTATGTGTTTTTAAATAGATTTTTCAGTCTACCTTTAACTCAAGAGGCAACATCTCTAGCTAACATCTACTGATCTTGGGTTGCAGTTAGGGAGATTCAATGCTTTAGATGCTTGTTAGAATAGTCTTATTGTGAATAATAAAGGAATTGAGATCATGACATCTTAGTTACATTATGGTACCCCTAGATTAGAGAAAGGACGCATACAAACAAGAAGCGCCAAACATAAGAGGCTCTTAAAACCAAAAAGGGGTCCCATACCAGGGGCGTAGGAAGGTGTAAATGCAACACTACGCCAAAAATCGCGCCAAAAAAATATGAAACAATTGTGTCAATATTCTATATCAAAACGCCTATATTATGCTTGTAAAACGTCATTTTATGGTAACAGAGATTTTAAGCTTGCAATGTTTTTCACAACCTAAATCTGAACGGAAATACTTAAGCGATGCATTTATATGGGCGATTGGTCATACGTATAGGTTGGCGTTTCGATTTTATATGCAAGCTTTAAATCCCTGATACCTTTTTAATGTGCTTAAAAATGTTCGAATGATTTTCATCATTTAAAATCACGTTTTAAATCTCGACACAAATCATTCTCACTTTGCAAATGTCTCGAACGATTGAGACGACCAATTTCAAAAAAACAATTAGAGATTTTTTAATCATTTTCGAATAATTGAATTAAGATATATAGTATTGTCTGATTCCATCGTGTACCGTGCAATACAATACGTACAGATTAAAGAAACTAGTTTGATCAATTGATATAAAGAAACGCATTCGTGATCAATGAAACAAATAAACACACCCACCACAAAGGTCAAATCGAGGTCAACGTGACTTAGGGGGTGCCAAAAATGTTATAAAACAAGAATCTATTATTTTTCAAATGAAAAAAATAGGTAATCGCTTTTCTAAAACTGAAATCAATGGAACGTGTAATTGAATAATCAGCATTTTCAAGTTGTTTTTGTCTTTAACATCCATATTTCAAAAAGTACTACCAATAACAATTAGTGATTTAGTAAGAAAATAGATAATTGTTGACTTAACTATAATTTCGTGTCTACGATTTTGCATAGCAACGGAATATAAATCGATAGTGAAATTGAAAAATTGGGGTAGGGGAGAATAAAAAAATGTACATCTAAATTTAAAGAGGTTCATCATTATAATTATATGATACCATAGTTTGCATAAGCATTACGGAAAATGCAGAAAAAATGTCAAAGGTATTCATCAAGCAGTTTTTGAAAAAAAAAACTGTTTTCCTCTCAAATTCGTGAAGAGAACGCGATTCACGAATATTTGGCAAAATTGTATTCATAAGACATTCAATAGTGGCTCGATTTTCATGAAATAAAGCATGTTGGTAAGGGAATTCAATCTGTTAAATGATATTTTCCAGACAGACCAATAATGATATGGTATCCTCAAAACATTTCTTTAGGCTAGTGTGCTCGAGATTACTTTTACAATTTATGAACAATGAGAAAATATGACTAAAGAACATAGGAAAATTCTTTTTTATTCTCACTTTTCAACACTACGCACTGGCGTTTTGGCGTACATTGTTCCTACGCCACTGCATACTGAATACTGAATTCAGTATTATAACTTATTGACCAGAGTCATATGTCAATAAGGCATTGTCACATAAATCTTCACCAAATCTGATGATTGGTGACATTAGTGCCAGTTGTTAACAATAACATTTCTCCAGACCAAAATATTTTCAGTCATAATAGTGACAATTTTGAAAATCAGTATTATAACTTATTGACCAGAGTCATATGTCAATAAGGCATTGTCACATAAATCTTCACCAAATCTGATGATTGGTGACATTAGTGCCAGTTGTTAACAATAACATTTCTCCAGACCAAAATATTTTCAGTCATAATAGTGACAATTTTGAAAATCATCATATTTTGATAATAATCAAAAATAGCATTATTATCTGATATATATATCTGTTAATTTTATTCCTAACGTTCCCAAAGTTAAAAGTAAATATATAAATGCTCCAGTTCAAAATAAGTTTTAACGAAAATAGCAACTAGTTTTGATAATAGTACAATAACGTCATTTCAAAGGGCAATATAGTGAAATATTGGACCAAGGGCCACAGGCCCAAGGTCCATTATTTCACTATTTTGCCCGCAGAAATGACGTTATTACTATTATTACCACCGTTAATGACAAGGGCTGAAATAGCAAATTTGAAATAGAAAATCTTACGCACTGAACGATATCACTTTTCCCGGGAAACATAGCCGGGCGGATAATGTCATTATTGCCCGACTAAAGTCATTAACGCCCGACACAATATTGCTCACGTCAATATAGCAATTTAAATGCCTTCTCAACTAGTACTAAAACCCCTAGAACAGGCCCTGCAAGGTGGTAATAATAGCTATTTTATGCAGGCTAGAAACATTTTCAGATTTAGACAACATATACCACCCTGACTTTCAAGTGAATGGAAACTAATATTTACAATTATTAGTACCAGGTCACCCTAATCTAAGTATAATAACATATTGGCTGCTTTTCTCTTTTCTTTACTCAAACAACTTTGAATGCTATCTGATCTGCCCAGGAATTTGGGAGGGAGTATCTACATGGATGGTTCTAAATTGTTGCAGTAAAGGAATAGATGTAGATATAGATGTAGCAGATTTTGCTCTATTAATCTGGATTAATTAGGCTAATTAAAAAACATTGCAGGTAATTGGGTTGAATTGATATATTCTTCAGTCATTTTTGCTGCTATTTCAATAACGCCGTCCAAGTATTGCAAAAACGTAATGAAAAATCCATGGACCCGGAAATAAAAAGTGATTGCGTTTTGTGGACGCAGTGCAAGCCATACTCATACAATCAACTTTGGATGAATGATTTGATAAAGATCTTACCTTCAGTCTCTTTATTTCGTCAGAATCCAATAAATAATTGAAGAATATTCTATTTCTAAAAGAAATAAAATTTTCTTTCGAAATTTCCTTCCCGGAAGTTGATTTCTGATCGAAATAGTACGAGGCATGTGATAGGACAAAAATTTATACAATACTCGATTTCCGAGCAGTAATCAGTATGAGTCCTACGATTGGCCGGTAGCTTAAGACCTGATTCAAACCATTTTCAATTGGTCAAGTGTGATCACGTGATCATTATTTGAGACTGCATATGCGCAAGAAACTGAACTAAAAAGTTGAACCTCGCGCAGATTGCCCCTAAACTAAACATGCTAAAGCAAAATCAATAGCAAATTGTTTCGAAATTCGCAAGGAAAAGGTGTTTTAAATGGGAGAATATAAGTTATGATGGTATCTGTATCATTCAATGACATACTAGACTTGCAAGAACGCTGATTCAGACCGATAAATAGCAAAAGCAGTGGTACAAAATTTCATCAATTTATTTCATCCAGTGTAAAAACGTGACTTTTGAATTCCCGGGAACATTTTTTCAAGGGACGCAGTTTTTTGAAGGGAGACGCATTTTTTGAAAATCATTACGTCCAAGGGACGCAATTTTGGACAAGCCTACTGAAAACACTGTTTTTGCTATACTAAATCTTAACTATTAAAGTTAGTTCATAAACTGGATGTAACATGAGACACTTATTTCTCAATGAACAGTGGAATGTAACCGAAATATAAAATAATGATGTTATTTCTTACTTATCAAAATTGTGAATTCATTCAGAAAACCTACAATATCACGATGTATTACTTTGGTTTTAAGTGCTCAAGTGAAATATGTCCCCCTCCTTGTTGGTTCCCAGTCCATCCCTGCATTTTTACACTTTTATATCCTTATTAATAGAGAAAGAGTGATTTTGCAATTCTAGGACAAATATGGATGCCAAGGCTCTCAAGAAACTAGCCATAGCTAATTGTAATGAGTTTGGCAGACGTTGGAATGAGCCAAATAAAAGTTGGGAGAAACTAGTTGAAGACTTATATAACACTGATGCAGTGATATACCCACCAGGCAGTCCACCAATCACTGGACTCACAAGTATGCATAAACCTAAAATATTTGTTAAGTCATGTGACATTCATATCGTCAAAATGGACACTGCACTTTTGGGGTTTTTGTTTTAATTTTTTGAATACTATTTGTTAAATCAACCAAAATTTCCTTTGTACATGTATAACTATAATATTGAGAGGTCTAAGAAAATGTTGTATATGCTATTTTATTCCAACTAGCTACGGAAAGATATCTTAATTCATTCTCAAGAATTGGTAAAAAGAAACAAAAAACAATTGCACTAAAAAACAAAAAATGTTAATAACAAAAACAGTTATGTAAAATATATATATATAATTTTCGTATTAAATTGTTGTCAATCAGTCAAAATAACATAAAGGACCGTGTTTTTTACAGAATGTTTTCAATAATTGGTTTAAGAGAAAAACATTGTTGAATTTAGTTCACCATATCAATACCAATCCTTTGAATCAAATTTAAGTCATCAGTGCTGGCTATTTTGAATTGATTGGTCAGACTGAGAGTTTTTGAGCAAAGGTCCAATGCCTATTAGGTATAAGCCACACACATTTGGACCAAATCTGTCTACTGGAATACGAACAAAAGAATGGAAGCAAGAACGGAAGGATGGCTTCTTTATATCCCTACCAAACCTTGTTGGTGGGATAATAAGTGAATAAATAATTCATGGGCTTAGTCAGAGGGGTGCGATGATTGCGAACGCACCCCCCCCCCATAACCAATAAAAATAAAACCATTAAAAAAAAGAAAAGAGCTTTATAAAATGCTTTTTAATTGAAGCTTCTAGCTCAATTTTGAAGGAAGTCATATCATTTTTTGTAAAATTCAAAACAAATCTTAAGATTTTTTTGGGCTCGATCGCATCCCCCCATATCAAAATTTACAAAGGCTTTACACCTACAATTTACATTCAGTTTATACTTACTTTACAATAGGTGACCAATTTCATATGCAAATGAGCTAATTTACACTCAGTTTACACCTTAGTATACACCCACTTTACACTTAAGTTTACATCTACTTTACATCTAGTTCGCACTTAGTTTTCACTTAAGTTTACACTTAAGTTTACACTCAGTTTACACTTACTTTACACCCAGTAAATAGGTGACCAATTTCACATGCAAATGAGCTAATTTACACCTAAGTTTACACTCAGTTTACACTTTAGTATACATCCAATTTACATCAAGAGCACATTCTGATTGGTCAGATTTTAAACTGAATTTACAGTTAGTTCACATAGTTCACATACAGGTAATCCTTAATTGGCGAAATACTAACTGCTTATCGCAGGGGGAGAGAATGCAAAGATATTCTGAATTTTGAAGCACTGTGATCAGAGAATAATATCAATGAAGATACAGGGGGTCCAAAGTGTAACGAATTGCAAAAAATTGCAAAAAACAAAATCCCATGTTAAATCGCCATGGGGATTTTCCTGGAATTTTCTGTCTAAGCGCTTAAAAAAGTATTTGTAGGAGTTATGCTATAGTACAAATATCACAGAATGATCAGCATTTAAGATCTATACAAATAGTTCTGCTCAGATTATAAAATTGAAGTTTTAAACAAAAAATGCTAAAAAATTCTGTCTTGTAAAAAGTCCAAATCCGCCATCTTGAATTATGATGTCACAATGACACTCTTCTTTTGCGTATTAAATTTTTTCAAGAAAAAAAACCCATAAAATATTGGTCTATATAATTTATTGGGCCTTGCTTCCTTCTCTTGCTTCTTGATTCTTTTAAATAACTTTTTTATTTTCTTCATTTTTCCAAAAAGTTGCCAGTCTCCAAGGAGTTAATGAATGTATGTCCTATGTAAAACCTATACAAATAAACTGACCCATATTGAATTACAACCCAGGATATAGTGCCATCATGATTCAGATTAGAATGAATTCTAGGTGAAAATATCAAAACAAACGGGCAAGCACAAAAGGTAGAAAGATTCAATGAATATATTGAAAAGAAATTAAGAAAATGGATAACTAAATGAACAATGATGATGAAACTGGAACAAATGCACAACTAATACCTAATGGTAAAGTTGACAGCAAAATCAAATAAAGTAAAACTGTACCAGGGCCGATGTTATAGGATTTTGTGAAGACTTACCAAAACCAAAATGGCTAAGCCAGCTTTGATTGAATGAGAGGCTGCATGAGCCTCGTTTTGGAATTAGAATTCAGTCAAGTATACACTTAGTTTACACTTTGACCAATATTTGATTTTTCTGAGTCTAATTTACATCCAGTTTTCACTTTAACAAATTCAAAGTCAAGTTTACACCTAGTAAATCAGTGTTTACTTTCTGCTAGTAAATACCTATTTACTTGAGGTAAAGTTAACATCGAAGTATACACCAAGGTCTGGTGTAAATTAAGTGTAAACTGACTGTAAATTGGATGTAAACTTGAATTCTAGTCGACTGAAAACCGAAATAGTTTGGGCTGATCGCACCCCACCCCTGACTGAAAGCTGTCTAAGCCCATGGAATTTATGACATCCAAAATACAAACACTCAAACATTTTTTATTGCAGATATCAGCACATTTTTTCAAGTGTTCCCAAATAATCTTAAGGTACACGGCAGTCTCACAAAAGTCAAAAGTGTGGGAGAAGACTCATACTTTGGAATATTCAGTTTTCAAGGAACAATTGATGGAAAAGAAGTTGACAGATTCTCGTAAGTTACTAAGAAAATTATAGAAAATTTCTGATATTTTAAGTGTTGACATCTAAAACTTCTTTTTTTATTTTATGGCCCTTTTGTATTTCATTTAGTCAATTTGGTAATTTTTTCAATATTAAAACTTTAATTTGGCATTTTAATTACGAAAAAAACAATCAAATAACTGACTCATATAAAATAAGGTCTTACACTTTCTCGAGCAATGTTTAAGGAAAATTCTAAGGCAGGAATCTGTATCATGATTAGATTAGCTATAAATAAAAGGAAGCCATTAGGAGCAAATGCAGTGATCTCACCTGTATAAAGTAAGTGGGTGCAGCACCCACTTGAGATTTTAAAAACAGGCTTTCACCCACCTGAAAATCCATCTACACCCACTTGAAAAGAAGAAAAAGCATGAAAAATAGGCATATTTTGACTTTGGTCTGAATTTTGAAAATGAGGATTTTGCAACCACTTGAGTAAAAAATCCTGTGGAGAACACTGAAATACAATATGATAGTTTAATGCTATTGTACTTTCAGAACTTGTGAAGAATGGACCAAGAAGAATGGAATCTGGAAATTGTCCAGTGATTTCTGGAACAGTGATTATGAAAAAGTGAATTACTAAAACTATTTGTATTGCATGTTGATGATGGAACACTAGTTATCTACCAAGCTACTGTCTAGGTTATGTTGACTTCCATTTGAAGATTCACTTTCATATCCAGGTCATGTTAGTGATAAATGACTTATTTTTCATAAATCATATTTTTTCTTGAGGTTAATTTAGTACTCAAGTCAAATTCTTGAAGAGGGCTGATATTTACCAAGTGCTTTATGATAGTTTTCAATTGTTAAAAAGAAAATTAAATATACTTTGAATAATTTGCATTGTAAAGTTGCATAGTAAAAAGAACAGTTGAGTATACAGTTATTTACCTCAACTAATTTACCTCAACTAATTTAACTCAACTAATCAGCATCAGGTACTTAGGTTCTAAAAATATGAATTATTTGTACTCCTTGGGGCTGGGCCAATAGTAAGATACGAGTAGAAACAATCTTGTGTACGTCATTAAATATTCAAAATTCAGTCAAAGTGATGTCATATTTAAAATCTACATGTAAAAGTACATCTATGGTTTCAAAAATCGTTTATCAGCTTTGATGAAAATATAATTTTTTTGTGTCTCCTAGTTCAGGGAGATTCCCAATATTACAAAATCACAAAAAGTGAAACATCTTTTCTTGTATTGGGCAGATAACATTTTCTTTTACTGGACATATCTTAATTTGCATAACTATTAGATACATAAGGGTGATATGAAAATTGATTCACTAAAACAGATGAATATTTAAGTTAAAGGCTACTTTCTACTATACCCGCCATGCTATCTGACCCAAATGAGCCACCTGGTGGTGAAACTGGTAACTACCTAATTCTCACATCTGAGTTATTGTTCATCCGGTAAAGGTACAAATATGCATTATATTTTAGAGATATAGTAATAATGTCAGCTAGCTAACATTTTTTATAACATCATTTATTTTTAGCTGGGGGGGGGGGGTTATAAATAGCCTACCCTAGCAATGATGCCCTCTAAGCACACACGCTAAAAGGGGAAAGACAAATGAGTATTCAAAAATTCACGAAGAAAAATAAAGATGTAAGATGTAAGAACACACTCTGGAGTCACAAGTAAAACCAGCCCCCAATATCTCAATTTTTGATTTTACACACAGTAATGCACAACTTCCTCAAGTATAAGTAAACACACATCAGGGATCAAGTTTAATTACATTGTTCCAAAAATGTTTATTGGTTAGATAAGTATAAAGAATTCCTTATAACTTATTAACTCATCATGTACTTTTGTGATGAACTGGCCTATTAGCAAAATTAACTTCTAATCTTAAAAGTACTTTGAAGTTAATTTTGTTGAGCAGGAAGCTACAAAGGAAGTCGAAAGCTACAAAGTAAATTATGAGGTTAACTTTGTATTAGCGATTTTATTGAAGTTGATAACTAATTTAATTGGAAAAAATAGGTTTTAAATTTATTAGAAATATTGTCAAATAGGTAAAAATACAGTACTCATTGGTACTTTGAGAGAATTCATGCCACTTCACATATACATGTATGTAAGTTTGGTTAAATGATAACTTTGAGTCTATGGCAATTTACTGTCTGCCTGCCACCCCCCTGCCTCTTACCATTCCTATAAAATGCCCTCTGGCGATTTAGGGATGCTATTGTAATTGCATTGTAAACTATATCAATGAAATAAATAATAATAATAAAAATAAAAAAAACTTTTTAATTATTTGACTTCTGGCGGATCCCCCACTTTTACCTCGCCTTGCTTACGCCATCCTGCCATATCTTTCAAGTGAATAATTTACAACGATAGTACCAGGTCATAATGCACTAATTAAGCACTGATATTCAACATACATTGGCTGCTTTACTTTACTCGAAAGACTTTGTACTGTATTATATCTGAACTGCCTAGGAATTTGAAAAGGAGTATCTACATGTAGGATTCTAAATTTTTGCAGTAATGCATTTAATATAATCTGGATTCATCAACTATCAAACAATTGCAGGTAATTGTTATGCTGTGTTATTGCCATGTATGTATAACATTGCTATAACCTCCAGGGTCATATTGCTGTATCATTTCTTCTTTTAAAATACTATAGCGTATCAAAGTTATAGTTTAAAATGGATGTCATTTTGTCAAGTTCAGTTTGATAGAAAACATACATCTTGAATATGTTACATTTAACACGAGACATTCCTTTGTATTTCAACAGTGAACTGTAACCCAAAATATAACTATACCATAACTTATCACTTTATCAAATTCAGAATTGTGAATTCATACATGTCAGACAGCCTATACAATCACCATGTAAATGCCAGAGTGCTCCAGGGTATATAATGACAACCAAGGCCATAGACTATACACTGAACATACATAGTCGCCGATTATTACTAGACACACATATTGGACAGGATATACCAGACACACATGGTCTCAGACCATAGCCGTAGGCAACGGGGGTTCGGTGGGTTCGAACGAACCCCCGGTCAGGATTTCCCAAAATATTATTTTCTCGAAAAATTCATAGCAATAACCAGCTACATTAAATTACTTTGCTATTTTAAAAATACAAACATGTATATGACCAGCAAATGAATTGATATTTGTTATGGTGAACACGAGAGCCTTATTTTGTTAAAAACATAGCATAGGGAAATTACAATTCTCTCAAAAAGTCTGGCAACCTTAGGCACAGGGTGAGATCGTTTAATTTTAGGAAGACCCGAGAGCATGAGATTTTACATTTTAGAAATAACAATAATTTCGCACAATTCACTTAAAAGCTGCTTCTTCTCGGACAAAATAAACCATCTTGGGAATGGCTAAATCAGTCTTTTGAAGGAATTTTGTTTTAAGCCAGCTCTAGTCCAATACAAAGTTATTGAAAATTATTCAAAACAATGCAGAAGTCCCATACTCCGAAAGATTTTACAACATTTACACGAACAAATATCTGGAATAGTCATAAAATTGGTGAAACACATGTTCTTTCAAATGTGTACACCTCTGTTTTGTTTTATTTCACTTGAAATCTAAAATATTTCTTGGGACGTCCCCGGGGCTGGCAAGTCCCCCAAACCAAATCAATTGCGTTAAAAGCATATATCATTTATAAACACAAGCATTTGTTCAAACGAGTATTTACTATCCATCACTTTTCATTTGTTTTTTCATATACACTCCACTCATCTTAGGGATTGTATAAAGTTTAAATTGTTATCGTTTCAGTGTACTTGCTCTCCATTTTCATGAATATCAAACGTTGGTGGATCATGTCATTCATGATATGTTTAGCGAATAAATTACATAATAAAAAACATTGAAAAATCATATGGCATTAATATTCAAATAATGTAGGCCTAATTTGTTAAGCCATCTGAACTTCTTAACAAAACATGTTTCATATTCGAACAGTCACTTTCATTCATAAATGATTTATATACATCAAAACGTTTTTATTATCAATTGCAGTTGATCTGCTCCGGGGGACTTACCAGATCCGGGGACGTACAAAGAAATAGTTTTTACTTTTTTTAAACTAAGCAAAACCGAGACCCACTTACATGTATTTGAATAACAGATGTTTTCATCAGTAATGCGAATATCCCGGATAGTTTAAAAAGCCTTCATGTAAACGTTGTAAAAAATAGAAGAACGATCTTTCAGAGCATAGGGTGTCTGCGCCATTTTCAATGACCTTGCATTTGATCCAAACTGGCTTCCAACAATATTCCTGCAAAATAATGATAAGCCATTGCATAGGGTGACTTATTTTGTCCGAGATGAAGTAGCTTAAACGTTAAAGAATAAATCGTGCGAAATAGTTGATATTCCTTGGCAAAAAATCATGGTCCAGGGACCAGGGTCTTCCCAAAAATAGACGAAATAATGGTGGTTTCGGAGCAAATCAGATTTCAGGATAGATATTCAGTAAAAGATTCACCAAAAATATTTTGATGCAGAAAATTAAGTTGTCTAACCCTTTTGCACGCTGCGTTTTTATTTTACTTTGTAGACATAAAAGTTAAAGAGCTACAAGGTCATCTTTGAAAATCATTTTACGTCCTTTGTTATTTCAATGGGAGAGGTTTCTTGATAAAGTTTATTACTTTCATCATCATCATCATTTTTTGTTAAATAAAATTCAAATTCAATTGTCTACTTAACTTATGAAGGTATTGAGGAGCCATGTAAGTTAACAGGAAATGACAAAATAAAAAATGACAAAACCATGCTGGATTTTGAAAGCTTTTTGAACCAAGATTACAGAGTTCTGTTCGAGTCAGTTTAAGTAGATCCACATATCATTTACATGATCGGGAACACAATGGTAATGGTCAGATGACCATAAACATGATGAAATAACCTTTTCAGCCCTCTGAAAATGTGAATGAAAAATAGCTAAAAGTAGGTGCTCAGGAAAGCTCAATGAACAGAATTCTTTTGATTTTTTCAGAAAATGTGTCCAATATATTGCCCTAAATGATACAATCTTTGAATTTTTTAAAAATTGTCTGAAACAATAATGGCTTTAGTAAAAAGGAAAATAGATCGATTTTCAATTCAGTTTTTTCCTTTTTTTCCCCTTTTTAAGTATGATATCAAATTTTTTAAAATTGTATCATTTAAGAGCAATATATTGGGCACATTTTCTGAAAAAGTCAAAAGATTATGTTCAGTGACCTTTCCTGAGCACCTACTCTTAGCTATTTTTCAGTCACATTTTCAGAGGGCTGAAAAGTTTATTTCATCAAGTTTATGGTCTTCAGGATTCAAAGGACGAATACATTGAAGAAATACTTTTCAGTAATACACCAATAAAATGCCTTGGGATTCACATTGGGGATAAAAAAATGTCATTCTTTAAACTGGGAATCAAGACTAAGAGACCTAAAACAACTATTACAAACATGGAAAATGAGAAAATTAACATATTTTGGAAAAGCTCAAATTATTAATTCCCTAGCAATATCAAAGCTTGTATACAATTTTACAGTTATGGAAATTGAGGAGTCAATCATTAAACAAATAGAGAGAATGTTTTTTGACTTTTTATGGAATGGGAAGGATAAAGTGAAAAGAAATTCAATAATTGGAGCAATAGAGGATGGGGATTAAACGTAGTAGATATTAAGCTTAAAATACAAAGTCTTCAGTCTATTTGGATAAATAGACTACTTACTAGCAAAACATCATGGAAACTTTTTCCATCGTACCTTATAAAGAAAACTGGTCTAAAATTAGAAACTTTCCTGAACTGCAACTTTGACCAACAATCAATAAATGGCATAAACATACTAACACCTTTTTATAAGGACATATTTTGTTCATTCAACACATGTAAAACATTTATAACAAATGACAAAATTAAAAGTGATGATATTTTCAGCGAGGTTTTATGGTGTAACAGGCGATTCCAAAATAGAGGAAAAGTTTTATTCTTTAAAAACTGGATACAGTCAGGTTTTGTTTATGTAAAGGATTTCTTTAATCCAAATGGTTCTTTTAAAAGCAGTCAGTCATGTACTCAGGTTTTACTTGGAAAGAGGAACTGGATGATAGAATTATATACAATCAAGAAAACTATTATGAGTGTCTGTTCAAATCGTGATAAAACTAATCTACCATTCATTAATGTAAAGGATAAAACAGAATTTTTGATTGAAAATCAGTTTATTAAACTTGAAGGTAAAAAAGTATGTAAAAAAGCCAAATTTTTCTACAACATTTTGAGAAATCTTAAAGGAGGAGGGAAATTAGCGCAACAGATTTTGGACAGTCATATGTTCGATTTTGGCCATTTTCTGAGGATTTAAACAATTGCATATGTTAGGCCAATGCATTGCCTCCAGGAAAATCACTTCTAGAGATGATAAAATAATTTCGACTTTGAGACAGGGTAGATGCAAACAACCCACCCACATATTTTTTCTGAAATGTTTTCCTAATTTTCGACCCCTTCCATCCCTGCTTTTTTAATTTTTCTTGCATCAATATGTTGCATTTTGACACATAGTTAACCACTTTAAAGGAATAAGTGATTCCATCAGGGGTTTTAAAGATACCCATTATGGGTGACCAAACTTAGCTGAAAGCAATGATTTTTCCTATGGGAAAATAACATGGGAAATATTGTTTTCCACTTTATCTAAAAGGAATCATTTATTCCTTTTAAGGGATTAACTGTGTGTCAAAACGCAACATATTGATGCAAGAAAAATTAAAAAAGCAAGTATGGAAGGGGCTGAAAATCAGGAAAACATTTCAGAAAAAACATGTGGGTGGGTTGTTTGCATCTACCCTGTCTCAAAGTCGAAATTATTTCATCGTCTCTAGAAGTGATTTTCGTGGAGGTGATGCATTTGCCTAACATATGCACCTTTTTAAATCCCCAGGAAATGGCCAAAATCAAACATATGACTGTCCAAAATCTGTCGCACTAACTTCCCTCCTCCTTTGAGAGAAACATTCATGAAACATACTGGAGTACTTGTTTTACTATTGCAGAACAACATCAATGAAAAAGTATTTATAATCAGAAATTAATGAACATGAGTTATAATTACTTCTCAGAATTTAATTTCAAAATATTGAACAATCTACTGGCATGTGGATATCTCGTATCTAAATGGAATAATAAAGTTTCAAGAAATTGTCAAATATGTCATGAATTACACAACATGAAACATATGTTATTTGAATGCAGGTAAGAAGGTAAGACATGTGTGGCAAGAGTTAGTGCAAAGTTAAAGTGTCAAATTAAATACAAACATATTGTTACTGGATTTTTACCAGGGAACAATATCACCAAATTTAGAAATGTCATAATAACAATTCTTGGCATAACAATTTATAATAATTGGTGCAATTTTTCTGAAGATCACGAGAGTTGGAAAAGATTTGATATAAGAACAGCTTTTGTTACAAATTAACATTTTTATGAATCTATATTTCATGTCATTGAAAGGGAATCTGTTTTAGCATTGTGGATTGAAAATTTAATCAAAAACTTTTAATTCAATATGCCTGTATTTTTGATTGATTGTAATTTGATTTTTGCATGGTTGTATTCATATTTATTTGTATTTAATATAAGTAAACGATGAAATAAAAAAAAAATAAAAATAAAAAAAAATAAAAAAAGTTTATGGTCATTCAGACCATTTCCATTGTGCTCCCGTTGATGTAAATGATATGTGGAACTGGTTAAACTAACTGGAGGTCAAAACAGAAATTTGTTATCTTGGTTCAAAAAATTTTCAAAATCCAGCATGGTTTTGTCACTTTTTGTTCTGTCATTCCCTGTTAACTTCCATAGCACCTTAAAATGATGTCAATTTATATTTTCAATCCCCAAATAGTTTTTTTTCTTTACAAATTATGCAAATAAGAATTCAAACTTAATCCAATGGGTTAGTTCGGATTGCCAAACTTTTGGAGGGAGTGTAAATTGTACAAATTGCACAAAAATGTTTTTATTTGAGGAATCCTAGTGAAGGGGGGGGGGGAGTATTGTGAATAACATAAAAAATAGAACCCCCAGTCACCAAATCCTGGCTATGCCACTGTTATATAGACACACAAGTTGGACGAGTGTGCAAAACTCATATGGTTCGATGTATACCTACATGTAAACATGTACCCAAACATCTCTCTGATTTGAATACCTCTCAAGGTGAATACTTTCTTCAATCCAATTTTTTACTTCATGTTAAAAAACAATGAAGTAGATATACTTACGAATCTTAACATTCTCAACTTCTATAACTTCTCTATATAATATAACTATTATTAGAGGAATCGTCCATTGGGAAAGTTATGATTAAGGAAAACATAGTGTAACAGCCATAAACAGTTCTAGGACAAAGATGGATGCAGAAGCCCTTGAGAAACTAGCTATAGCCAATCATGATGAGTTTGACAGACGTTGGAACGAGCCTAATAAAAGCATTAAGAAAATAGTTGAAGACTTTTACACTGTAGATGCTATTATATACCCACCAGGCAGTCCACCAATCACTGGATTCAAAAGTACATATGTAACTTTTGTACTTCTACTTAATTTGGCGCTACGCTACTCATTTTGGCAGATTTGCTGTTTTGAACTTTTGGTGGCTACTTAATTTGGCAATATTTCAATGCACTAGTGATACTAATTTATATGTTACTAAAATTACAGAGGAATTTGGCGGACTTTAACAATTTTGAAGACCTGCCAAATTAACACAACCGCCAAATTAAGTAGAAGTACAGTATAGACTATTTTAAAGGTTTTGTGACATTTGTTACTTTAAAGTCATGATGTAACACTAAATAAAAAAATATAACTTAACATGGAATTCATGGGATTGGAGAATAACATCATTATCATTCAAATAGATTTCTTCTACAAATTACTTTGTTCCTTTTATGTCTGAAAAATCGTAAGCAAAGTCTCCTAGATTTTAGGTTGAAATCTCCAGAAAACAACTAGAATTGTACATGTAGTTACCTTTACACGTATCTTTATTTGCAGATCTCATAACATTTTTTGAAGCGGTTCATGCTGATCTTAAGTTCCGCAACAGTCTCAAGGTAGTGAAGAGCACAGGAGAAGACTCATACTTTTCAATATTCAGCATTCAAGTTACGATTGATGACAAAGAAGTTGACAGATTCTCGTAAGTTAACAATAAGCTTTCAAAATGAACAACATCATTTTTATTTCTGATCCAACAATTTATAGTGATGACTAGCTGTAAGGTTCTTTGTGTTTATCAGCATCTAGTAAGGTGTTTCCTGTTTCATATTTTTTCAGATCAAGCTGCCCATTAAACAAGGTATTTCTGATAGATCAAAATATGTTACCCATTGCATTCGTTTGACTTCACTTCTTAAAAGAGAGTTTCGTCTTCGCACTCTTTCAGTAAACAATTACGCACTAGGGTACAATTCTGTTGATATTAGAACCCCTATCACCATACTGAATATCTTACACATACCCCTAAGCCTGATGCACCTTATTTAGTTCATTAAAGGGACAAAGTGCGTAAATAAAGTCTCACTTTTGATCTTCATAGTATTTCCAATGGATTAAAAATTACCTGATCTTTCATTTGACACCAAAAAAACCTCAAACAGACCACATCAGAGTTGACACTAGATCATGAAAAAATATTTTTGATCTATCAATTTATAGATGTCAAGTTTTTAGCAATGCCATAGGAAGATGGCATTGTTGTTTGCATTAATTGCCCATTCATTTTTGATAGGATTTTCAACCAACCGCCATCTTTTAGTCCAAGAGTTATTTAAAAACATACACTTTGTGAAAAGTGGTAATTCACTACTTTTGATCTCTGAACTTCAAATGCTGTTTTTTATGCGAATAATTTTTTTTCATTTCAGTATTGACCCAAATTAAAGTTTTTATCATATTTGATTGACTGTGTAAGTGACATGTCTCAAATAATATTTTGTCCTTTTTCCTTCTAAAATGAGCGCATTGCCTGTTTAAGTCATGGGGTCATCTGGGCTACCCAGAAAGGGTTTGGTCAATGAGCAGCTTGATGAGTATGAACTCAGTTGAAACACCCTTTAATCTATACTAATGTTATTCTACTTTCAGGACTTGCCACATATGGACCAATGACAATGGAGCCTGGAAATTATCCCATGACTTCTTTAACAGTGATTATGAAAAAGTGAATTATTAGAACTGTACAATCATATATTTAACAGTTGAACATCATTAGAGGCTACTACAGCAAACAACAGGAAAATATATTTTTCTACAACTTACCCTAGTGATTTTCATGAACCTGAGAAGGTCTGTGTGAATATGAATGTTAAAATGATTCAGTTAAATTACAAACAGATTACAGATTTCAGATAAACTGGGCAACTGATTATACTGATTATAAATGTACCTCTAACATGCAAATTTATATTTTGGTTTTGTCTGAGAGTGGCCCAGCTCCTGTGTAATGATCTACATTGCATATTTCAAACAACTTATCTTATTTTATGAAATCTGATAGCAAATACGTTTCACAACCAAAATTATTTATATGAAATATCATGGGCTTTCAATAGAAATATCTGAATTTTTAAATAAAATTTCAATAAAGTAAATGAAATTATTTATGTGAAATATCTGACTTCAATTTTCAAATAAAATTCTAATTAAGTAAAAGCAAATTAAGACCTAAAGTGCAATATGTATGTTTATTAAAAAAAACAGGACCCTTTTAACTAGAAAATACCTGAGAAACAGTAAAACCTGTAAAGTGGAACACCTCTATTAGTTGAAAACTTTTCTAAGTGGTACATTTTTCAAGGTCCCAAGCCCAAATGACTTAATGTTAAATGAACCTCTGGAACACCTCCCAATTGAAACACTTTTTAGAAGTACCAAACATGTTCCACTTAGATAGGTTTTGATTGCTGTATAAAAAATGCTTACCTCTCATGAACAAGTTTTTCAACGCTGTTATACTTCTATCTTTGGAAGGTCTGGAGTTAATTGTGACAAATAGGAAAATCAACAACAGTAAAATGCACTGAAGTTTCATCACCTGCATCATCTCTCATAAAGTTTATTCGTCCACATTCTCAAGTAATACACAGGCTATTTAGCTTCCATGATAAATTATTGTTGTTAGTGTAGCCATCTAAAATTAATACATATATTTTGCAATTATATTATAGAACATGAAATCTCATATGGTACAGAACTCACTTCATATGATGCTAATGCAATTGTCAAGAACATCACAGAACATATTTAAATAAAAAAAATTGCAATCAACATATTGAGGTAGTAGACTTTTGTTAGTAGGGTCCTGTGCACTTAATTGCCCATGTTCCATCTTTAATAAGGAATATGAATCTGATTTTTATGAAATCTGAGCGCAGACCAAGAGGAGTGAAGCCCCGGAGCTTTAGAGTAAACAGACATAATTACGTCTCTTGCTAACCCAGTACTGTCAACCCCCAAAGATTTTCTCGCGGGACAGATTTTTTAGACCCAGTGCCCAAAATTCGCGGGATTTTGCGGGACATCTACTAAATTCGCGGGATTTCGCGGGACATTTAAGGGATTTGCGTGATTGCGCTTAAAGGCCAATTTTTTTTATAAAATTCGCGGGATTTCGCGGGACCATTCGAGGGACAAATACCCTAATTGCGGGACAGTTAACAGGTTTACCAGCAAAAACTTCATAGAGGGACAGATTTTCTAGAAAAAGTGCCCTAAATTTGCGGGATTTTGCGGGACATCCACCTAAATTTGCAGGATGTCCCGGGACATTCAAGTGATTTGCGTGATTTGGACTAATGTAAAAGCGTGTAAAAGTACTTAAATCAAACTTTCAGATACTGATTAATCAAATATAATGCACCGTTACATTGTGACTTAAATAAACGTCAACATAACTTCACAAAATACGCATAGAAATATTATTTCAATTGAAAGCCCATGGTATAGGGTTTCGATTAATCTACATCAAATTATAGGGAATGAGGTTACTTTTCTAGATAGGGTTTGTAGAAAAAACCGGGTACCGGGTAGTAAATCCTCAATGCTGGGTTCAAACTTGGTACCCGGTCGAAAAAAACGGGTACCAAAAAAACGAAATATACAAATACAACATAATTAGATCATTAGAAAACGTGTAAGATTTGTTTTGAATTTACAAAAATGTATGTAACTTCCTTCAAAATTGAGATAGAAGCTTCAAATAAAAAGCATTTTAAGCCTCTTTTCTTCCTCTATCATCATGGTCATATTTCCATTGGTAATGAAGGGGGAGGGGGGGTGCGATCGCACCATCACACCCTCACCTGGCTACGCCAATGACATTGTAAGACGATTTGAATAACAAGGCAAATCAATTTTACTCTATTTTCAATAGTTCGTATGTTGGTACGTGAATTGTTTTGATTATGATTTAAATCTGTAAATTGCTATCGTTGCTTTAGCAGAGAGGTGACGTGTGTTAATTTACATGATGCAATGTGTAAGATTTTGATTATTAATCATAATTTAAGTTAACCCAACTGTCGACAAAATGTCCACTGAATTGTCCACTAAATTGTAATGTCTTACAATGTCATAGGCGTAGCCAGGAGAGGGTGCGATTGTGCGATCGCACCCCCCCCCCATAACCGATGAAAATATGGTCATGACGATAGAGGAAGAAAAGAGCCTTAAAATATGCTTTTTATTTGAAGCTTCTAGCTCAATTTTAAAGGATGTTACACACATTTTTGTAAATTCAAAACAAATCTTACACGTTTTCTGATAATCTAATTATGTTATACTCGTATATTCGTTTTGTTTTTGGGTAAGCTTACCCGTTTTTTGACCGGGTACCGGGTACCAAGTTTGAACCCAGCATGGAGGATTTACTACCCGGTACCCGGTTTTTTCTACAAACCCTTTCTAGATATCAGCGTCCATTTATTGTAACTCGCGTTTGCTAACATTAACTCAGTTCTGAGATGAAGGCCACACGGATAGTAAAAAGGCCAACGTTGGAACTATTTGACCTACATCCCTATTGTCGTAATTAAAATGAAAGTTGAACCCTTCCTCTTTATTTTGATACCAAACAACAGCATGCTAGGTACTTAAAGTTAGGTAAACTTTACTCCTCAAAAGTGCAAAAACTTAGCTTCTTATATAAGATTAGATAATCACAATATAGGGGATTGCAACAATTTCTGAATTTCGCGGAGGTCGAAAGCCACATTTGGGGGACTTCGCGGGACATTGCGGGACACGCGAATTAGCCTAATTTTGATCAAATTCGCGGGATAATCCCGCCATTCGCGGGACACTTGACAGCTCTGCTAACCGTCTTCATTTGTTCGTATTTTCACTAGTGTTGTCGCGATTAATCGATACATCGCGATATACATCGCCAAAGCTGATTCTGGCGATGCATCGATGTCTGAAACAAAACATCGATGTTTTTAAAAAAAATTCATTTGCTAAAAATCACCCTTTCTTATCTTATTTTGACGCAAATCGCTTAACTTTCTCATGTCTTATTTCATTTCCCAATGTTTTCTGATATTATTTCGCTTTAAAACTGTTTTAGCTAGTCGAAATGAACCATTAATCTAAAAAAATTTACTTTGCTTTAATTTCACCGTTACTAGAAGTTCCCGGATGAACCAGCGTTCTGTATTTTAGTGCATTAGCGTTCGGTATTTCAGTGCACTTTTCTCGGACTTTTTCTCGATGTACATCGCGATGTGCATCGATGTTTACTACTGAAAATTGCCGATGCATCGACGTACGATTATGGCACATCGCGACAACACTAATTTTCACCAGCTTGTTTCCAAACACGACATGTCAATGTCATGTTTTAATTGATGTAGGCATATTCCATTATTAACATAATATTATTCGAAGCGTTTTTTGAAATCCTTGGAGACAATAACTTTAAAATTATAACTCAAATTACAACAACCTTTGGGAGCGACTAGGAACATGAAATAGGTACGTGTACTCTTAAACATGTACAATTAATGCATAAAATGATGGATCTACACTGTACAACAAAAAAGTGACATAAAATTTGAAAATCTGACAAAAGGATTCAGAGATACAGTATTGCAGGCCTGTCAACTGTCCCGCAATTTGCGTATTTGTCACGCATTTGCTGAAGAATTTGAAGTCACGCCAGTTTTTTTTGCGTGACAGAAAATGTCACGCAAAATACGCATTTTACCTCGCAATTGTCAAGCAAAAATAGTTCTGTAGAAATTTTTTCGAAATATGTTTACGATACGGTAAAAATACGAACGTCGGAAAAAACCGAACGCAATTTGTTCGGATTTGTCACGCGAATCCCGTATGTGTCACGCATGTTCATTGGAAATTTTTCGTACCTACCCCCCCCCCCCCCCCCCCATTGACGACATCGCGAGCGTACCGAGCGCGAAAAATTTGAGGTGTTCAAAGTTTGGCAAAGGTGCTCAAACTTTGGCCAAAGGTGTTTAAAAGTTGGCCAAAGGTGTTCAAAATTTGGACAAAAGTGTTCAGATTTGGACTTAGGTGTCCAACATTTTGAAGTCACTCATATTAGGTGGTCCCAAGTTGACAGCCCTGGTATTGCCATGTCTGAACATCTATTGGAAATATTTTCCCGTGTTTCAAAGTGTTCCAGAAAATCAGCCTGCTACTTTTAGCTATTATTCAGTCACATTTTCAGAAGGCTGAAAAGGTTATTTCATCATGTTTAGGGTCATTCCTATCATAATACGCTTTTGTCCTGGTCATGTAAATGATACAATATGTGGTACAGTACTAGTCAAACTGACTGGAGGTCAAAACAGAACTCTGTTATCTTAGTTCAAAAAATATTCAAAACCCAGCATGGTTTTGTAACTTCCTGTTTTTTAATTTCCTGTTAAGTACCATGGCATCTTAAGGTTCAGCTGGAAAGTAACATTTTGGTAAAAAATTGCTATACCTGCACATGTTATTTTCTGGTACAAAATTAAGTATGAAGGCATGTGTGTATTTTCTTGCTTTTTTCAGGAAAGTATCATCACACTGTCTACTTTTAGTAAACCTGGAAACAGGTCAACGGTAGCTCCTGTGTTGTCTGGAAACTTTGAAAGAAAATTTGGAAAAATAGAAAGTGTAAAATATCCTACTGAACTCCTACCAGATATTCTAAAAGAAGACAATGGAATGATACTTTCCTGAAAAAAGCAAGGAAATTGACACATGCCTAAATAACATGTGCAGGTATTGCAATTTCTTCCAAAATGTTACTTTCCAGCTGTACACCTTAATTCGTGTTTAAAAGGTCACTACATTGTATTATTCAGCTGTCCATTTCCCCGTTCTCGAAGTGAGTAAATAATGGTGAGATTGAGCTGTCAGAGAAGAGATTTGAGACCTTATCTGTTGCAAGACTAACGCCTGGCGTAACCGTCACCATGTTATTCAGTGTTTTTAAGTAGTGCAAGGATCCTGTCATGACCGTGGTAATGTTATCGTGAAAGCCTGGTATAACTGCGACAATGCTGTATTATATTGCAATGCCTGCCATGACTGTGACAATGTAATATAGTTCTGCAAGGCTTGGCATGACCGTGACAATGAAATATAGTACTACAAGGCCTGGCATGACCGTGACAATGTAATATACTGTAGTACTGCAAGACCTGGCACGACTGTGACAGTGTTATATAGTTCTGCAAGGCCTGGCATGACCGTGACAATGTAAAATAGTATTGCAAGTCCAGGTATGAGAGTGGTAATGTAGAAATTTACGATTAGGACTGTTATAACCGTAACAATGTTTATTGCAAAGCCTGGCATGACCTTGGCAATGTAATATAGTACTGCAATGCCTGGCATGGCCGTGACAATGTAATATAGTATTGCAAGGCTTGTTATGATCGCCGTGGCAATGTGATATAGTATTCCAAGTTCGGGTATGAGAGTGGTAATGTAGAAATTTATGATTGCTATAAGTGACCGTGACAATGTGTATTTCAAAACCTGGCATGACCGTGACAATGTATTATGGGATCGCAAAGCCTGGTATGACCATGACAATGTAATATAGTATTGCAAGGCCAGGTATGAGGGTGGTAATGTAGAAATTTAGGCTTAGTCCTACTATGAACGTTATAATGTATTGCAATGACTAGTAAATATGTATGACATTAATGCCAGGAATATCCTTAACAATTTTAAGTGATCATCATTAAAACAGTTTAATACTATGATCATGGTGTTTAACTACCTTAATCATGTCAAAATCAAAATTACTACTATACATTAATATTCACATTAACTTATAAACCAAAATAAAAGCTACGGTCAGAGATCACGATAGTTGAAAAAACTTGTTAGCCATTGTGGCTAAATCTTCCAAAATATTTTTAGCCAACCAAAATATGAATTAGCCATTTTGAAAAACCGTAAAAAAGGGAATTCGCAATAGAGGTGTCACGGTCCAAGAAAATTTCGGTACAGTACGGAACGGTACAAATGGTCTCAACACGTTACTTTCGGGACGGGACGGGACAGAACATTAAAAATGATGAAATGTCTGATGATGACAGTTTCACTTTTCAAAATCATATTCAGGAATAAAAAAACGTCCATTAAAATTGAATGTAAAGCATCTGCCGCGAATGTGATCGGCATTTCACATAGTCTGCACGGTGTAATATTACCAATTCGTTTACCTTGTGATATCGGAGTCCCAAAATACTTCCAAACTGCCGAGTTTTTCGACTTAGATGCCGGCTCGATTTTTCAATTTCTTTCCTACATCCGGCATACTGATAATGCACTAGATTTGCGAACGACGATGAAGAAATTTACGAACAAGCATTACCATCTACCTGAAATCGCGGGTCCGTTAATAACACTTTTCAATGCAAAGAAGTGTAATCTAGGTACGAGGTAAGTGAAAATATTTCAGAACGAAATCGGAGGTGTTCCTCGCTATTTATACACGTTTTTATGCATTTTAGTGAAGGAATCTATATACCGATATTAACCCTTTCTGTCCCATGTCCCGAACCGAAGCATCTGGACCGAAATTCGGTCCAATATCGGGAAACTGTGACACCTCTAATTCGCCATAACTGCGAAATACCTTTACATATTTTTCGCCACCTCTTTCGAAAATTCGCAATTGGCGAATGGCGAACGTCTACCGTGATCTCTGCTACGGTCGCGCCAGGCTTCCATGATAACACTTCCAGGGTCATGACATGCTTTTACTGACGCAGTTACTACTTTTTGCAAGGCCTGACTTCGTCGCTAACATGCTAAATATAAGAGTTAGCTGACGTTTGGGAGTCTGACTTACCTTCTAAAGGTTAGAACCCGAATCTTAATGAAACCATATCACCTTTGTTCCGTCAACCATGGAGCATTTGCCACAACATCCAAGAGGTAAATCATGGACCGAGAAAATGAATGATTTCCTTGTAAGTTCCGGAAGTTTCAATACGAAAAATTACCGAACATATATGAAAACCGAATATTTGTTCGTTGTTTTCACGATTTACAGGTTCGTATGTTCTTCAATGTTTTGGTCTAAATTATAAAGCATCACCAACAGGTCTTACTCTATTAATCGACTAATACAGCAGACGGCTCATATTTCTATGTAGCATTTCGTTCAGACAAATAGTGGGACTGTAGATCACGCAGTTTCGTTCGTTGCGTACTTCACTCGAAATTGGTAATTTTATATTGGCTACTTCACTTACATGTAGCTTGGCGGATGTAGAACATTGCTTAAGATAAGATAAGATAATATTTATTTTACGTCGGTTATAGTGTACAAAAAACATTAGCGCAAGCGCTATTCTCCGACTAGTGTATAATAAAATCTATGGTAAAAAGTGTAACAAATAAAATACATGCATACAATAATTTAACAGAGACATCTATAAGACATGAATAGAATAAAATTGATACATAGCATAGACTGGCTATATGACTGAGACATCTATTGACTAGTTTATAAAATTGAGGTGATAAGTTAATATTTGCACATTGCACATTTACAATCCTGACCCTCCCATTGGGAGATTAAACGTTTGAACTCTCCCAAGGAAATTGCCAATCTGCATTTATTGGGGAGGCTGTTCCAAATGAAAGCAGCATCCACTCTGAGAGAGTGTCTACCATAGCGAGAACTACGGTATGGAGGGACATTGATTGTGTTGGTTGATCTTAAGGAGTATCTGTGAGTGTTAGTTTGAAATAAATCTGACAAATAAGATGGGCACGTGCCTTTAATGATTTTGTAGGTTTCAATTGCGATTTGTCGCATTCTACTGAGTGTCAGAGTAGGTACCTCAGATTTTACAAGTAGTTCTTCATAGCTAGACTTGTAATCATTATGAACAAATCTGAGACATCGCTTCTGTAACAATTCCATTTTGACTGAGTTAAGTTTACCACAGTGATGCCATATGGTTGGGCAATAATTGAAGCAGGACAGGATAAATGCCTTGAAGATTACCATACGGGTATTTAAATCCAGGTGTTTAGAGATTCTCTTAAAAGCGTTTATCTGTCTTGCTGCTTTGACACATATATCTTTAACATGTAAATTAAAATTAAGTTGATTATCAATGGTAATACCTAGAATGTTAACATTATCTTCAGTTTTGATAGTTTTACCACTAAAAATCAGTTCAGAGGGTGCATCGGCACCAGTTTTACAGGGCTTTAAAAACATACATTGAAACTTTTCTGGGTTTGCTACCATTTTGTTCGCGTTAAACCAAGTGACCAAGTGCTTAATATTCTTTTAATTTTCACACCAGACATGCTTGGTTGACACGTCAACAAAGTTCAAGGGTCAATGCGTTATTTCGTGATAACTACAACGCCTTCCCGAAAGTCAACATTGATGAAAAATGAAAAAGTCGGAAAAGCATTTACACTAATTTCTATCAAATGCTATGTTTATGCATCATCATCGACGCAACAAAGGTGATATGGTTTCATCATGGTTTCATTAAGATTCGGGTTCTAACCTTTAGAAGGTAAGTCAGACTCCCAAACGTCAGCTAACTCTTATATTTAGCATGTTAGCGACGAAGTCAGGCCTTGCAAAAAGTAGTAGAAATGGACTCTACAGGGCTAAGCTTAGCATGTGAGCTGTGAGAGATTTGGATGTTTACGAAGTGAGCCTGTATTTTTTACATCATACAGTGACTGGGAGGGATTTAAATCTTCTTCCTGGGCCTATGCAGAGACATATAAATATATATGTCTCTGGCCAGTGTGGGTATAACAGTTTAATGAGCATAAAGTGAAATAAATAAGAAATCAAAACAAACCTGACAAGTGTTCGTGCGTAAAACGTCATCAGATTTGCTAGAGAGGGGTACATAAATTGATGACGTAGTTCACATATTACACAAAGCAAAATGGATAGTTGTAGAGCAGTTGAAAAAGAAGTGGATAGAGTTTTGTCGAAATTCGTGGGTATTGATGGCCACACGACCCAATCTTTAGACGATCTTATACAATATGTTTCGGGGATATCACAGGAACTTTCCGTAGATGTCAATCGACCGGAAGTATCGACTACACAACAGTTAATTTTGCAGCAATGTTGCCAAAAAATCAAAGATACGGTTTCTCGACTTGCAAGCGAACACAAGGACTTACACAGCAGTGTGTCGAAAGTGGGTAAAGCAATTGATAGGAATTTCGTCACAGAATTCAATGGTATTGCTCAGGACTATGTATTTGAAGGTGTTGAAAAACAGGAAATGTTGAATAAAGTTATCGTTGAACACTTTCTACGTCAAGGAATGTTGGATATTGCGGAGGAACTCATAAATGAAACAAACATAGAAATTGATCCAGTCGCCAAGGAACCATTTCTTGAGTTACATCGTATTCTTGAAGCCCTGAAACACAATGACCTTGATCCCGCTCTCACGTGGTCTAGGGTGCATCGTCAACAACTCCAAGCACAGAACAGTTCTCTTGAGTTTAAACTTCACAGACTTCACTTCATACGCTTGATAAGCCAAGGCCCCGAGAAACAACAAGAGGCCCTTCTTTACTCTCAAAATTTCGCTCCTTTTTCCAGTCAGCATGAACGAGACATTCAGATTTTAATGGGCAGTTTGTTGTATATGAAAAGAGGCATTCAGAGTTCACCATATGCTTATTTATTGGACACTATAAATTGGATTGAAATAGCAGATGTTTTTACAAGGGATGCATGTTCGTTACTTGGAATGTCTGTTGAGAGTCCACTTAGTGTGTGTATTCGTGCTGGCTGTTCTGCCCTCCCCCCTCTGTTGAACATTAAACAAGTCATGCAACAACGACAGTGTACAGGAGTATGGAGTGCCAAAGATGAACTTCCTGTTGAGATCGATCTAGGAAAAGAGTGCAGATATCATTCAATTTTTGCTTGTCCAATTTTGAGACAACAAAGTACAGGCAGTAACCCCCCAGTACGTCTCGTATGCGGACATTGCATATCGAAAGATGCACTTAATAAACTGGCCAATGGCAGCAAAGTGAAGTGTCCATATTGCCCTGTGGAACAGTCACCTGCAGATGCTAAAGAAATCATATTTTGAACACTAACACTAAACATGTCTGAAGAATTTATTAACATTAGCAAATGTAAATACAAATGTAAACTTGCCGTCATTGATTGACGTAGAACTATAATTTATTTAATTGATGTTAAAAGACTTAGATATGATATTTAGTGTTTAATGAAAGACCTTTGAAAAGTATTTCTGGTCTAAGAGAACATCAGACAATTTTTAGGATGTCCCTCCAGTGATCAGGTGATTGAACTTACCTGGTACAGTGAATACAATGAACTATAATTGACTAGTGACTAGTTCTTTACACCAAATGACAGTGTTTTTATAACTAAATGTAATAGAAAATTATTTAGATCAAAAAATATAGCGGCATGTACATGTTATATGTAAATGCATTGTATCCTATACCCTTCATATAAATCACAATGATATTGTAGCAGATTAAGAGGAATAGGACTACAATAAGCACTTTATATGAAAATATTTTCTGCATTTAGTAGGCCAGAGTTAAAAAATTCTCGTAGATTGGATGCAAAATTCGAATTTGACCCGGAAACTTGTAAAGTCAAAATATTCACATTTTCCATCTTGCTCCAGCATCATACTACCCTTTGCATTCGTTCGAGTTCACTTCTTAAAGAGAGCTTCGTCTTCACTCTCAGTTTACAATAAATATCTGATCTCACCGAGCCAATCAGACTTCGTCGTCGAAATTGGATCGAAAGTGATCACTCAGTTGGTTTGTAAAGGTTCTCACTGACTGCAAACTCCCATAACACATTAATAGCCCATTGAATGGCAAAGTCAGTGAATTAATTGGTAGCCATGTAATGTAAAATTTATTCTATGATGAATGTATTATAATGTCAATCGATGTTTCTATATTTATATTAGATTAGTATACATTACATACATGTATATCAAATGGTAATAAAAATCAAAAAAGGTTTCTTGAATTTATTTTAATGTAGAATTTCTTATATATTGAACTATGTATCCAAACAAATCTGAGTCGAATTTTACACCCTCTAATCCAAACTTTCCATTTAACTTTTCTTCCATTGACACCCCTGTTAAAATACTTGAAATAAGAATACTTCCTAATCTAAACACTAATGGCTGGTCCTTAGTGTTTATTTTCACTATCCCATTGGTTGAATGTACAGGGTGGTTCAAAAAATAGAAACATTGATTATCAATTTGTGGAGAATGTATTCTTCCTCTAAAATACAGCAAAAGTATACAGTTTGGAGCTTATTCGATTGTCCATAGTCCGCCAAGTTTTCATGAATAGTCCATCTTGGTAACATTATATGAGTCCATGTGACATCTTTCTTATCTCCAGAATTACAAGGCAGAGCCTAGGCTTCCATTCCACTATCAATCTGACATTGTGTGAGCTTCCTCCATAATGTCTATATGACTAGCTTCAACTAAAACTAAATGGTTTGCCTTAATACACTATTTGCTGAAGCATACCCGACAATCTATAGTCGAAAGGGTTCATGTTGGGGACTGTTTGGAGGAATGAAGAAGGGGACATTCTTTTCAAGATAGATGATTGTTTTGAATGGTGGGATCGATGGTGGTCCATCTTGTTCGAAAATGAAGAAAATATTATTGTTCACTTTCTTAATATCTCTCATCTGTTCTTTTTGAAGTACATTTTTGTGTATTAGAGTTGATATTTGTAATTGTAAAATGAAATGTTCCACTTTTTGGACCACCCTGTATTTGTCATAGTGGTGATATACTGTACGCCCGGTATTTTCCGCGAGTTTTAATTTCGCGAATTTTGAGAAATACCAATTTCGCGGCCCTTAAATTTCGCGGATTTCAAAGTTTTAAATTTCATTATTCTCTGGATCCTCAAGATCTGTAAACTAATTTACCTTATGTACAGTAATAAGATCTACCCAATGTCATATTTTGATTTACAATTTCTAGGTCTAAGTCAACGGCATGTTGCACCTTAGCCTTTAATTTTGGCGAAATTCGCGACGATTAATTTTCGCAATTTTAACACTGTCGCGAAAAGCGCGAAACTAAATCGCACGCGAAAAATACTGGGCGTACAGTAATACTGCTGTTATCAGGTTATTCCACTCACCCGCCTTTACATTACTCACTAATTGACAACCACAGAATCAACCAATCAAATTAATTGAAGCTGAAACTCCAACAATATATCAAAATATGTTAAAACTTTAAACCTTGACATTGAAATCCATGAACAAATAAAAAAGTCATGAAAAATATCTTATTTCCGAACACCCTGTATTCCCGATTGATGTCATAATTCAATTAGGATGGATATCTGTAGGTCTCCAATTCAGAGCCTAGTGTATGAACTAGGCTTCTGCCTAGTGTATGAACTAGGCTCTAATTCACATGGTACCTGATACTTTGTCCACAGCTGCATGATGCTAACTTCAGTAGGTGCTCTAACAACAGCCCAAATGTTCTTGATATGGAAAAATTTTGATTCAAATCATCATAATTATGTTGGTTTGCTGGCTGCCATGCCAATTTGAGCAAGAATTATCTGAATCACAAATTTCCTTGTGCAATAGACTAGATGCGAGTAGGATTAATATTGATTTACGTCATTTAATATTCAAAATTCAGTCAAAGTGATGTCATATTTGAAATCTGCATGTAAAAGTACATCTAGGAATATGGTTTCGAAAATTGTCTATCAACTTTGAAAATTTAATTTTTTTTGAAAATGTGACTTCTTGTTCGGGTTGATTCCCCATAGACCCCATGTTACAAAATCACAAAAAGTGAATTATCTTATCTTGTATTGGACAAATGACATATTATTTTACTGGACATATTTTAATTTGCATAACTATTAGATACATATAGCGGGATAAATAATGTAAAGTAATCGCCGTTTGCGGAACAAATCGTGAAACTTTCCTCAAATGATCACTGATTGCTACTCTTCAAATAAAGCAACTGTGCCAAAAAATCGCTCCATAGGAACTACCCTAATTTTACAATTCTTACCCCCCCCATGGTCACGGAGGGGGGAGGGGGGGCTAAAAAAAATTTGACACAATTTTTTTTTACTAAATTATGCTCATACTTCAAATTTAATATTACCTTATCATGTTAAGAAGTTAATGTTGAAGTAAAAATATGAAATACCATTGATTTTCGATTGCTATGTTAAAGGGTGGTGATGGGCGACGCCCACTTTTCTTGTATTGAATATTTTGCACCATATCACAGTAGCAGGAGTAAATCAAATAAGTGATATATGATTTTAAAATTACATCTATATCTAATGCTTCACATGACTATTATTTTTCACCTTTTTCACTGTTAAAGGCTTGTTTTGAGTCACACCCATCTTTTAGATATTCAGAAAAAATGGTCGAAATGGGTTGACTTGTGGTTTCTTTTGGCTTCTGAGTGCAGTTAGACTCCATATATCAACTATCTATATCTGTTTCATAGTTCCTTTAGTTTCACTTTTCACACATTTTTAAATCATAGTTTTATTAATCTTATAGAAGGATTTATACTAGTGTCTATCAGTATCATAGTTACTTTTTGGTATGTTGCAGTGTCCTTATGAAGAACAATTGCTATCACACACACATAATGCTGTACAAACAAGATTTCCTTTCAGGCACTTGCATCGTGTTGATATGCATTGGTTTTTGCAGCTACATTTATGAGAGCCTGGCAAGTGTCTGATGCTTGGGGTAAGGTTGTCCACCTTGGTATCCATTTGGTGTCTTCAAATATCCAGCCTCACTCAGCTGGGGAAGGAACTTGAGGATTCGCTGTAAGTGATTGCCCCCAAATAAATACAGCTTGGTATATGACTCTCTTCATATGCTGTAAAAAGGCATCTGATGTTGGACGAATGTGTGATATTAATGAAGTTCTCTTTGTGAACATCTCCTTCCTCGCAGTATTGATTGATGTTTCATTGCTTGTTTTAAGTTGGAGACCAGAATAATGAACAGCTCTAAAATAGGCATCAAGCAGGGTATTGGGTCGTATTGAGATTTCTGTTAATACTGTAGTCAATTCAGGGTAGGTACTCCATTGGTTCCAGGCTGATGTCTTAGACTTTCCATTAAAGCCTGATGTGGTGTCACACCCAGTCATAGCATGGAATATTGGGAAACACATGGCTTTCTGAGGAGTCATCTCATGGGCAATTTCGTGGGCTGGAAGGTATCTATAAGACTTTCCCTTGCCAAAGGTGAGTCAGCTTTGAATGTTAAGTTGTACTAACTTCCAGAACAACAATGTCTGAATCAACTGTTCTAATCGTCATTTTTGTGAAGCCTTTTTTCATTGCATCATATATGTGCAGAAAGATTCGGGACTCTTCATGGGATGATGGTGAAACATGCTGCTTAGGATATGCCTCTGCAGAATTCCCAATTGTTGTAATCAGGATTTTATTCTCTGGTACTGGAATGGCTGAGACATTTGATGCAAGGAAGGTAAAGAGATCACTTTTCTTGTCATCAGAGCGTAGAAATTCTGGCCAATTCCCTGGCAATTTGTTTTCTGGATAAACTATTTGACGCTTTCCAGATCCATGATTTTTTCTTGTTGAAGATTTGACACTATTTGGTATATATTGATCCCATACAATATTAAGTCTTTGTACTCTATTAAGTTGATCTGCAGTATACTTATTAAATAAATATGTCATTTGAGTATTGTAGGAAGGTTCTTGCTTCTTGAGTTTTCAGCAGGTGGACTATTACGGCACCATCAAGAAACAGGGCTTCAACATCTGGTGTATTGATCTCTCTATTTGGAAGGTCTTCCACTGGTTTTAAGATATTTGCTTTGAGTCCAGTCTTGATTGTGCCATCTTGTGAAAGGGATGGAGGGAATGCCTGGTTCTCATGTCGGAAAAGTTCATCTAAGTTGCCGTCTCTATTCTGGCACATTATGTCTAGTTGTGAAAATAGGGCAGTGTCATTTTTCAAGCTTGCTAGCTTTGAACTTGACTTAGATTTGTTGGAAGATCTTGAAATTGTTTCTCTTGATAGGGTCTAGTGATGGCTTTTGATCTTTCAATAATTCTCTCCTTATTATATATACTTCACATTGACTTTTGCCCCTTTTCTCAATTGTGTTCAATGTGTCAACTGCACTGCTTGACATTACATCTCTAGTATCAAGTGTTGCAATAAAGGGGTTTCCTAAATCATTGATAACTTAAGTAAGGGAATTGACATATTTGTTGAAACTGGTTTGATAACTAACACTGTGCTCGTGGTTTGCAAGGACCATCATTATTCTTCATCTCATCCTCAAACTCAGTTAACAATCTTGCGATCTCTGGACCATCGACCATCCACTTCTGTAATGCGGTTGGATTGTCGAACAACCCCACAGCTCCACCCTCACTTTTGATCACACTATTATTTTGCTCATGGGCTTGGTCTATTGACATGGAGGAGAAGCTTTTTCTTGACTTGCTGACAGTGAAATGCCCCTTCATGAAACCATTGTGAACTTCAGGGTGATTTCTTTGAGCTGAACCATATCACTTACATGGACAGGTACCCAGCGGGCATAATTGGTATGATCCAGGGAGACAAACCATGGCATGATTTCCATGATAGTTTCTTTGTAGAGCTTGAAGTTCCCAAGTCTCACAGCTCTTAAACATTTGTTAGACCCAGAACTTGTAATTGGAGTACCATGTACCAGAATTTGAATATAGGCGACCCTGTTTCTTCACTCTGCTGTGTATCTATCAAAGATTCAAAATCAAGAGGCAAAATTGTATTGATTGGTAATCTACCTGAAATCTACCCAAGTAACAAGACGCCCTCCCAATACACATAACACTCATTCTTAATTCAAAACTGCCCTTATTAGACCAACAATATCATATTTTAAAACATAACAGTTAAAGATGCATCATGCCATAGGTTTCTCCCCCAGACAATCAATGATGTCCTATTGTTATTGCTCATATAATATCTCACATACCATAGATATATCTTGAGAATAACTTTTGGATATATCATTGCCGAAATATCGGAAATAATCAACAGAACAACCAAACTCCAGAATTAAACACAATCGATTCCTCAGCTAGCGAGAGGAATCCCCATTGAGTCACACAAGTGCCCACAAGTGCCTTGAACCAGGCAGCCAATCAGGTTTATGATTAACAAATTCAACGACCAATCAGATAACAGGACAACTTTCCTGGTATATTCACACTTCAGATTGAATTAATTTCTTCGAAAATAATTGGATCGGCCAGCACAATCGCGAAATTAACACTGAAAGAGGGGGATTTGGGACTTCTTCTTTGGTAAGTAGATGGGTATATGTGTGGTGAAACTCAATATGCAAAAAGTCCAGAGGGGTCTTGATTTTGCTATCCTATGGCATAGAGCCTCTTTAATCAAAATAAGCAGAACAACTTCTTGATTATTTTTATTAATCATGTAGGTCAAAATCATACTTACAAAAACTGATCTAGATCCTATCACAAACGTTGATGCTCATTGTCACTTAAGCATGACCTTGTCAAAAACAAGAAGTGATTTTGGTAGTTGTTTAAGAAAGATACACTTTTTGCTAGATTATTCTGTATTTGCATTCAAGTCACTCATCAGATGTCACATAGTTTGTCAAACTTTATTTTCAATTAAAATTACGTTGTTTATCATGTCGAAGTACATGCCACTATGGAAAAGAGATAAAAGGAATTAATTAAAGATAAGTAAATATTCATTTTGCTAAAAATCTCACTCATTATCATGTGTATCATGGTAAAAGGTCCCAACATTGAAATTATGATACTATTTAATGATAATTATAAAATGTTATGGATGGTCATTAAGCTTACCCCTATAAATTTTAGGGGTAGGGGTAAAAATTGCGAAAAGTATATAAAAAATGGAGGAAATTTTCGGCACAGTTGCTTTTTACACCCAGGAAGGTTGTCTGGTCATATATGGAAAGTTCCACGATTTGTTCCGTTTTCGGCGCTTTCACCCTTTTTTATGTCACTATTTATCTCGCTAATAAGGGTTATATGAAAATTGAACCACGCAAATATATGTAATTTAAGTTAAAAGGAACTTTCTACTATACCCGCCATGCTATCTGACCTGAACGAGCCATCTGGTGGTGAATCTGGTAACTACCTATTCGCATCTGCGTTATTCTCAGATTTCTGAGATATTTGAAAATTTTACAATTTTAATAAATAAAATATAATATAATAAAATAATATGTTTTTGTCACAAATATTTTTGATGCATGGCAGTTATAGTCTAGCTATAACACTAGGTAAATTAATATTTCCAAACATCTTAGAATTATGTCTGACCGTGTTTGTTAAAACCTAACTGCTTTCTATTTCTATGGAGGAAATTGATAAGATACCATCTTATAACAAACATGAAAAGCTTATTTATACATCATTTATTTACAACAGTAGGAAAATTTGTATCATTTCTGACACAAAAAAATCTGAGCATTCAGATGACATTCCCATACACTTCACAATTTCTTCACTTGCTCATCTCAATTTCAAATATCATTTCCCATTTTAAACAGTTTATATTTGCATTCAATATTAAGCTTAAGTAGACCATAATTTATGTCAAATATAATTCAAACAATCCAGACGTGATCCAATCAAATAATTCAGAGGGATGAGTCCATCGATTTGATTTGCAAAAAACTATTTAGACTTGTTTTTATTGGTGGTATTTAAATCCAGCTCAGTATTTAAATATTCAGGGTTCTGTATTCTGTATGTTCTGTATAGTATTTCATTGTTTCAAGTATGACTTATTTTCAATGCTCAATACAGTATTTAAATTTTTTGTTCATTATTTCAATGTTCTATACATGATTTCAATGTCTGATACAGTAATTCAATGTTCTATACAGTAATTCATTGCCTGATACAGTACTTCAATGTTTTATACAGCAATTCAATGTCTGATACAGTATTTCAATGTTCTATACAGTTATTCAATGGTCTATACAGTAATTCAATGTCTGATACAGTATTACAATGTTCTATACAGTAATTCATTGCCTGATACAGTATTTCAATGTTCTATACAGTAATTCAATGTCTGATATAGTATTTCAATGTTCTATACAGTAATTCATTGTCTGATACAGTATTTCAATGTTCTATACAGTAATCTAATGTTCTGTACAGTAATTCAATGTCTGATACAGTATTTCAATGCTCTTTACAGTAATTCAATGTCTGATACAGTATTTCAATGTTCTATACAGTAATTCAATGTCTGATACAGTATTTCAATGTTCTATACAATAATTCAATGTCTGATACAGTATTTCAATGTTCTATACAGTAATTCATTGTCTGATACAGTATTTCAATGTCTGATACAGTAATTCAATGATCTATACAGTTATTCAATGTCTGATACAGTATTTCAATGTTCTATACAGTAATTCAATACCTGATACAGTATTTCAATGTTCTATACAGTAATTCATTGTCTGATACAGTATTTCAATGTGCTATACAGTAATTCAAAGCTCTATACAGTTATTCAATGTCTGATACAGTATATCAATGTTCTATACAGTAATTCAATACCTCATACAGTATTTCAATGTTCTATACAGTTATTCAATGTCTGATACAGTATTTCAATGTGCTATACAGTAATTCAAAGCTCTATACAGTTATTCAATGTCTGATACAGTATATCAATGTTCTATACAGTAATTCAATACCTCATACAGTATTTCAATGTTCTATACAGTTATTCAATGTCTGATACAGTATTTCAATGTTCTATACAGTAATTCATTGTCTGATACAGTAATTCAATGCCTGATACAGTAGTTCAATGTTCTATTCAGTAATTCAATGTCTGATACAGTATTTTAATGTTCTGCTCGGTAATTCAATCTGATACAATATTGCAATGTTCCATACAGTAATTCAATGTCTGATATGTATTTCAATGTTCTGTCCAGTATTTTGATTTATGTTCAGTATTTCAATGCTAACAGAATTTCAATGTTTGATACAGGATTTCAATGTTCTTTGTATATTATAGGTTCCTTTGCTTACTATCTAATAGTACCTTTGACCAGGGAACGAGTGTCTTTGTGCCGAGTTCTGCGGAGTGGAATACACACTCTGAAAAAAAATTCATGAAAATGGATACGAACGCCAATGCAAGAATTATAAACCACATGAGAAATTGAAAGACAGCAGATTTAGTTTTTTTTGTGGTCCTCATTTTTAAATTGAGTACGTAATAAAAAATGATTATGTCCAATGAAGTGTAGTGCTTAGGTCAGAATCTTAATATCTCAATGAACACTTAGATAAGACTATTAACTTCATATATAATGTTCTAAATCTTTAATTTTTTTCGTGAAAATCATTTAAATGAAATTTACTACTTGCAGAATATAGTGTGAATTCTTTTCAAATAATCTTGTATGCCTCAGTCAAATGATCCACGGCAACAGGACGGCAGCCGTTGCTTCCCAAAATCGAGAAAATATGCAGCATGAAATATAGGGAAAAGCAGTACAATGTTGATTTTCTATATCAATTTTGTGAAGCTATGGCTGCCATACAGCAAATGTGTCTGAGACTTTACTCACCTTGCCCTGGCTATGGGATACTGGGGTTTGATATGGGGCAGTATGACTTGGGCCTTGGGTCCTCACAGGATACCCTGACACAATGCTGCCCTGAAAAGAAATTAGGAATCACAATTAGAATTGAAAACGATACAGGATATGTAGATTGAAATATTAAAGGGGAGTTTGTACATTGCAGAACAAAAATTCACGATGTTCATGTTTCACCCCGGACACAATCCAGAAAGAAAACAATGCTGACTATCTTAGTTTATATGAAAGATTGAGAGCAGAATACTGTAATTTAGATTTAAAAATGATTTAAACAGATTTAAAATTCGGATCTCTGAAAATGTTCAACTTCAGTTGCTTTTTTGGACTTACTGACTTCATTTCAAAATCTAATACATTCATTGAACTTGGAAAGTGTACCTTTTGTGGTGGAGGAGCCTGCTGTTGTATGGGTAAACCTTGCAGACCCTGGGGCATCTGGGTGCCACCCTGCTGGGGTAGTGTCATCTTACCCCTCTGGCCAGGATGCTATAACATATTGTTGCATACAATTATATTTAATCGTTCCAAGTTATTAATTTCATTTTGTTTTTCTGTTCAGGGGTTTCATGTGTTGTCTTTTATCCGAAATTATAATGAAAACGCTGAAACTTGTAAAATAATAGTTAATTGTAACATGTGGGGTGGTCATTTCTAATTATAATTTTATGCCTGCACATATACATGAACACCATTTTCTCAAAAAAGGAGTATTAAAGACTAAAACCAAGTATTAACCTGTCCAGGTATTTGCTGCTGGCGTTGATATTTTTCATCACTAAATCCAGATTTTTTGTTGGCATGCTCCAGTTGCTGTAGCGATAGATTAGAACCATGTGGGTGACTGTAACCTAGAAAAAAACAAGAACAACATATAACAAAAAATTATGAATTCAAAACATTATTGCTTTTACCAAAAATATATGAACAAAAAATATGTGAGAAGACATATTTTAATTGAACATTTTAACTTTTGACTATTGTCTTCAGCTTCTTGTTTTGGATATCATGTTGATACCACCTAATGTTAGATGAATCAATCAATGGGAACATCTCTCAAACTATTGTTTAGCCAGTCCTGTTAAAGGGTGAGCAAAAATAAATCTAACCTGAGGAAATATTATTTTGGCACAATTTAACCTTGTTCAATGTTCTTTGAATGTATCAAGTGTCACGGGTCTATTCCAAATGGTAATCAAATGATTTTATGAACATTTTACAAAACATGCTCCAAATGCCAGCCACTTCATTTGAGGCAGACTTGAACACATGGGATAAAATCCCTTGTTCAAACTCCCTGGTGCTCCTGGCTATCCAGAGTTGTTGGTGTAAAAATTAGCTTTGAGACAGCCCGAGGCTTGTCGTGAAATAAGACTGGCACTTTGAGCATGTTTTGTATAATACCCATGAAATCGTTTCTGTTTCATTTTCTTTATTGTCTTTTATACAACCATTTAATAAAATGCAACTTACTTGCTTGAGATGTCTGTGGTCGACCCGGAGCTGCAGGAGATGACATTCTGTGCATGGCCCCCTGGGGATATCCTCCAGTGTAATGATCCGTCAGCTGCTTTTGCTGGTGGGCATAATGGCTGGGGTAGGAGGAGAATGCAGAGGAGCCTGGGGGTGCATACTTTGCAGCAGCTTGGGCTGTAGAATATGCAGGCTGCGATTGTTGGTAGCTGTGTTGCTGTTGTCCAGACTGGCTGGCATGTTGGCCTGACTGGCTGGCATAAGTTGTATGCTGACTTGTATGGGAGGCTGGAGTCTCTGAAAGATATAACACTGAATTAGCTGTGCTGTTGTTGACCTGACTGACTGGCATTAGCTGTATGCTGACTTGTATGGGAGGCAGGAGTCTCTGAAAGATATAACACTGAATTAGATGTGCTGTTGTTGACCTGACTGACTGGCATTAGCTTTATGCTGACTTGTACGGGAGGCAGGAGTCTCTGAAAGATATAACACTGAATTAGCTGTGCTGTTGTTGACCTGACTGACTGGCATAAGCTGTATGCTGACTTGTATGGGAGGCAGGAGTCTCTGAAAGATATAACACTGAATTAGCTGTGCTGTTGTTGACCTGACTGACTGGCATTAGCTGTATGCTGACTTGTACGGGAGGCAGGAGTCTCTGAAAGATATAACACTGAATTAGCTGTGCTGTTGTTGACCTGACTGACTGGCATAAGTTGTATGCTGACTTGTATGGGAGGCAGGAGTATATGAAAGATATAACACTGAATTAGCTGTGCTGTTGTTGACCTGACTGATTGGCATTAGTTGTATGCTGACTTGTATGGGAGGCTGGAGTCTCTGAAAGATATAACACTGAATTAGCTGTGCTGTTGATGACCTGACTGACTGGCATTAGCTGTATGCTGACTTGTATGGGAGGCAGGAGTCTCTGAAAGATATAACACTGAATTAGATGTGCTGTTGATGACCTGACTGACTGGCATTAGCTGTATGCTGACTTGTATGGGAGGCTGGAGTCTCTGAAAGATATAACACTGAATTAGCTGTGCTGTTGATGACCTGACTGACTGGCATTAGCTGTATGCTGACTTGTATGGGAGGCTGGAGTCTCTGAAAGATATAACACTGAATTAGCTGTGCTGTTGATGACCTGACTGACTGGCATTAGCTGTATGCTGACTTGTATGGGAGGCTGGAGTCTCTGAAAGATATAACACTGAATTAGCTGTGCTGTTGTTGACCTGACTGACTGGCATATGTTGTATGCTGACTTGTATGGGAGGCTGGAGTCTCTGAAAGATATAAAAATGAATTAAAACGTGTTAAAATATCACAACTTAATTGCAATTAAAAAGATCGTCAGTGTTGTTATTTTTAGTACTTCATAATATGACTTACTGTGTGGGTATTGAGGTTGTTGCGGTTTCTGGGCACCCTGGGAATATCCTGCGGGGAACTTCTGTTCAGCATAACCTGGGTAATTGTGACTTGCTATAGACACTGGAGGTGGAGTGGGACTTCGTGGTCTTTTCTGAAGTTGTACAATTAAATGCAGAGGTTTCATTAGAATTTCTCACAACAGGCTAAATAAATGAAAACAAGAGGCAAAATTAATGGAAATCATTAATCTAACATGGAAAAGTCCTAAAAAACAACAGGCGATTTTGAGAAAACCGGTGAAAATCAACTGTTGTCTGCTCTAATGAAAGCCCTGAAATGGGTATCAAAGTCATTGACTTTTTCGAGATTATCTGAAAATCAGAACTTCCATCTCTAACTAATCCTAATCAAGTTTATTTTCTAAAACAAGACACAAGGTGAAGAATACTGTACCTAGATGCAGGTTTATATACTTAAAGAACTAAATTTCAACATACCTTTACTTGAGGGGGTGGAGCAGCAGCCTGTGGGGTAGCTTGTGGGGGCTGCTGGGGCAGGTAGTATTGCTGTTGCTGCTGGGTGGGACGGTACATGGCAGGCTTCCCTTGGGGACCCATGTGGGGGCCCTGTACAAACAGCTGCCCTTGAATAAGTCCTGGCTGTTGAGGGAACCCATGTCCGGTCATACTCTGCATGTACTCACTGGATAAAAAATACAATGTTTAATAACTTGTCAATTGAACTTCATGATTTTTTTAACTTACAATTATTTATGGAGGAAAAGGTAATTTTCTAATTCTCAACTCACTCGGTTTATGTATAAGGCAATTTCGCATTTTTAGAGTTCTGTATAAAATGCCAATTTGTTTCAATGATGGAAAATCCAGAAGAGTACATTGACACTTAAAGAAATTGACTGTGAGTCTGAAGTATGTTGAAACTGAATCACATTGACACTAAAGCACATTGCCACTGAAAAATGTTGCCAATGAAACACTGAAACACATTGACACTTGAGGTGTTACGGATACCCAATTTTGTTCTGTTCCGCGGAATTAGGCTCTCAGGTATGAACATGGAACAATTATTCAACATTTTGGATCAGTTCCGAAACAAGAAAATTGTACCTTTACACAGCTTTTTGCCCTCATTTTTCTTTGCATCGAAAGAAGTCCATTTTTCACTCCTTCTCATTGAAGAGTTTTAAAGAGATTTTTGCTACTTGACAGACCTAGTCGATCAACGTATTGTATACATTATGATACTAAATATGCTGAGTGTTTATCTTTCTCAAGTAGTATGATCTGCGACTTTGCACAGATCATGGCGCCGGCTAAACTCAAAATGTCAAATGAGCTGAAACCCAGAAAACAATTAAAGACGCTTCAAAGGGTGGGAAAATCCATGTTTGGAAATATTGCAGTAATTCCGTGATCGGGGGTTAGATTCAGCGGGACCAGAGTGTCTTCAAAGATTTGAGGTCCTAATAACAGGAGCTCAAGGTGAGGGGATCATTAATTTTTCTTCCCAGTTCGAATGGCAGATCTACTTCTAGGACATGTAGATCTAATTTTATATTTCCTGTACAAGCTAGATATCCAGTCATTGTTCATAGACTTGCAAAGTTAAGTCGTTTTGTTGCATAAGACTCAATCTTGGCCTACAATAAATGGGGCAAGTTAAAGTATACACACAGTCACTTTGTTCCGGAATCATTCCGAAATTATTCCGTTCCGAAATATTGTTCCGAACCGTTCCAAATTTTTTTTGTTCCGTGACACCTCTAACTGACACTGAACATAGATACTAGTATTCCGTAATTCCGCGGCGTGGATGGAATTTGACAAAACTTCAATTTTTTGCAGAATCCCTGATTTTCATGAAAATCCCGCGGAATTACCAGAAATTACATATTTTACGATCTCCTACCTTTGCGGGGTATTTGAAGAGTGTCTGTTTATGTCCAACAATCAATCATTATTGAGTACAAATACGATTTCACCGTGAAATTCAACATTCTATCACGTTTAAATTCGCTAAAGTTCGCTAATGACGCGCAGTTCTTACCTAGAAAGTAGCTGACTTCCGTTTCCGTTGCTACGTCAATTTTCATCGTTTTAAAAGATTGCAGAATTTGGAGTTTTTTGAAAATTTGTGCAGAATTTCGATTTTCTCCTTGCAGAATTTGCTTTTTTTCATGCAGAAAACTAGTATCTGTGACTGAAGCACATTGTCACTGAAAATTGTTGCAACTGAAAATTGTTGCCACTGAAACACATTGCCACTGAAACAGATTGCCACTGAAACACATTGATTCTGGAAAACATTGAGAAAATAACTTACTCTTCCTTGATTTGTGTACGTCTCCTGGCTTCATCTTCATGGTGAAGCACTTTCTTCAACTGAGAAAACATATCATGTTTCTCACGCCTTAACTTCTCAAGTTTCTTTTCCAATTCAAGGACCTATAAAAACAAAGTTCTTTTCCAATTCAAGTTTCGATAAATACTGTTAAAATATAAAGAACAGTAAATTTTATCAAAATACAGTAATGTTTTTGCAGAAGGATAACTTGGTTGATTATTTGTAAAGAAACATATTCTCTAATAAAAATTGATGAAATATGACTGGAGCGCATCATGGACCTCATGTATGTAGTTTATAAAAAGGAGGATACTAAATAAAATCAATTATACCTGTTCCTTTGTCTGCTCCAATGTTAAACTGTTAGCTTGTTCTCTCTTTTTCTTCATCTCTTGCTCCTTCCTCTGCCTCTCAATGGCAGCATCTTGCTCTTGTTCTATAAGTTGAAGAGACTATAACAATATGTCATCAATCCTGGTGGTGACATAGAAATAAACTTTATCCAAGCAGCCATTTTGAATTGAGTTGCCATCTTGAAGCTTTTTGTGAACAGCTGTCTCATTTCCATGAGAATCAATCTGAATCAGCTTTAAGGTAACTTATAACTTAATCAAAAAATCCAAGATGGCCGAAACCAGGAAGCACATGGCATTTGAGTATAATCTGACCATCAAAATTAACTGTCTTTTGGTTGGATTTTCTCTCAATTTTTTAGTTCCACTTATCATTTATATAACCAGGCTCACTGTGGTAATGCAAATAGAAACAGTAAACATTTTGGAATGGGAATTTGAGCCCTCTTAAAATGTGACAGAAAAATTGACAAAAAGAGTAGCACTGCAAAGGTCCCTGAACATTTTTTTTCTAATTTCTTTGAAACATCCCTTTAATATAGCCCAAAATGGAAGGAGCTTTAGAATTTTGAAATCTCTCATACAAATTAAAAAAAAAATAGAAAAAACAATTTGAGAAGTGTACTTTTTTCCTTATTTTGATCCCAATTTTTTTATCGGGTAATTTTTCAAATTTCCGTTGCTCCTTCGTTTTTGATATATGTTTGAAGTATATTTTCTGAAATGTTCAGATATTTTGAATCAGCGGTTTTTCACAGGCTACTCCTAGAAAAAAATCTTCTCAAATTCTTTAAACTGCACTTTTTTTCTCAAACTAAAGTTTTTTGTTGTTCTTTGATGTCTTTGTAATGATTACAGTGCACAAGCATATGTGAAATAATAAAAACGACTTCTCAGGAAGAGTTTGAAAATTTCAAGATTGTGAAATTTTCAATTTTTTCTGAAAATCGATTAAGTTAACAGTCACCTTAACAATGTCTTTCTGGTATTTTTGACATTTACCTTGTAATAGTCTGTTTTTGAGTCTGTATAAAAGTAAAATGGATAAATAAGTTTATTTTACCTTGTTTTTTCTTCTCCCGTTCTTTCATTATGTGTTTCTTCAATGCCTGATACATTGTACGGGTCATCTTTGGTCTTTCAATGAGGGCAGGCATGATGATTGTCAGACTTCAGGACTTGCAAGAAGAATAGTATTAGGCTAAATAGGATGACATGAATAGAGAAACTATTCAACTCTACAAAATCGCTGCTGTTACTAGACTATAAAACTTATGCTAGACCTGTCTAAAACTAGTCAAACTCAAACTTTCAGAAACTCAGTTTCAAATATTTTTTATGCAAAAAAAAGACTAAAAAATCAAACAATTCAGTCGTCATCAATGGGTTTGTTTGTTTGTTTGTATCCTTTATAGCGTTATAATGCCGCTTATTGGTCACGTGTTACTGGTTATTCCCTTGTGCTTGCTCTTGATACTTATTCACTTGTTCTTTATCAAAAGTCTAAAATTCCTTATACTATAATTATATACAGTTTTTATTGCTCATGTATCTACCAAAATTTCACAAGTAGTAGGAATTCTTTTCAAGGTCAAAAATAAGATAAATCACACTGCAATGATGTCTATCTATTACTCTCTTATATATAGCCATATAAATTATTGTATTCTTATCTGGGGAACAGCAACTAAAGCTCTATTGTTTCAAATTTTGAAAGTACAAAAAAGATTCTTAAGACTAATTACAAACAGTGCTAGAACAGACGATTCCTCTCCACAATTTAAGAAAATAAAAATACTTAAATTAGAAGATATTCATAAGCTAAATGTCGGTATTTTTGTATATAATTGTCTCAAACGACCTAAAGAATTTCCTCAAACTTTATTCTCTGACTACTTCATATCAAATGCTCAAACTCATGGTCAAGAGACACGTTATAGATTCAATCTTAGAGCTAATCAATTTAAATCTACATTTGGACAAAGGAGCATTAAATACATAGGACAGATAACATGGAATGAATTACCTGAAACTTTTAAACATCTGAATTCTAGAAATAAATTTAAGTCAGATTTGAAAAAGTATTATCTGGACAAGTATTAAATTAATCTGTATAACATTTAGCTATATGTGCTTTTATATATGTATAGTCTATTTCTTTCTCTTCTATCACTTTTCTTCTAACTTTCTATCTTAAAAAACAGTTTTATATCTTGTCATCTTGATTAATACAATTATGTAATATAATCATATGTAACTATATACACCCGTATGGGTGTCAGTTGCCTGTACATTTAAAATCGATTTAATTGACAAATAAACAACTATGCAAACTGTATATGTGCTCATTTAAAATCTCCTGGTTTGCCTAATGTAATTGCAAAAGGCATGAAATGGGGTTCCCCAAATTCTTAGTTTACTTGCATACCGATTCGATCAAAACTCTACCTATTAAACCTCAGATATGTCTTCAATATCAAAGTAAGATATAAACGGTAATTGCAATGATTAAATACCTTATATATTGAGAATAAGACGACGTTAGTTCATTATAATTTTCCAAAATGTCTTCCAATTTCCGAGCTCTCCAGTTTAGGAGATCAGAAAAATATAGGTGGCGACACTCAACTTTCAAGCAATGTGAAACATTTTCTGATTGTTTTAGCAGGAATCCAGCTAAAATGTAAGTAATTACTGATCAATTGTTATGTATTATTGAGGTATTGTTTATTATCTTTGACTTTTTTAGAGATACCTGTAGTTCTGTTATCATATAGGGCCTGAATCGTGTTTCAAAGAACGTAGTTTTCTTACCGGAAGTCCATTTTTATGTTTTGCAAATAGGCTATCACACAGTCTCCGAGCCTTTCGTCCAGTGCCATCCGTACCTCCTGTGCCCAGAGGGGGAGAAACACCAGGGTTCAAAGATGACATACGCTTATAATGTAAATCTGTATTGAGATGACACGGTCGCTGATTGGTCAAAAGTCCAGAGCTGTCAAGTGTCCCGCGAATGGCAGGATTATCCCGCGAATTTGATTAAAATTTGGCTAATTCGCGTGTCCCGCAATGTCCCGCGAAGTCCCGCAAATGTCGACTTTGACCTCCGCGAATTTTCAAAATTGTAACAATCCCGGAGGCTAAATAATTGTGATTATCTTGTGATATAAGAAGCTAAGTTTTTGCGCTTTTGGGGAGTAAAGTTTACCTAATTTGAATAGTGCTGCCAAACTCCCAGTGTATCAGATCATTGAAGACTGCTTTTGGAAAGAGCATAGTCCATTTATAAAACTGTGATTTTTATCCAAATAACACCATAGTTGGCTTCTCAAGTACTTAGTATGCCATTATTTGGTATCAAAATAAAGAGGAAGAGTGCAATTTTCATTTTAATTACGAAAATAGGGATGTATGTCACCAATAGTTCCAACGTTGGCCTTTTAACTACGCGTGTCACGGCCTTCATCTCAGAACCGAGCAAATGTTAGCAAACGCGAGTTCCAATAAATGGACCCAGATATCTCGAAAAGAAACCTGATCTGACTCCCTATAATTTGATGTAGATTAATCGAACCCCTATATGAATAGGTATATTTTAATATATAGCACTTTGGGGGGTAAATGTTTCATAGTTGGTCACGAACGCCATAAGTGCAAAGTATTGTTCAGAATTTTTGAATTTCATGTTGGATTACGGTACTCACACCTTAAGCGTGGTTTTTGATAGTTTAATAATATTTCTATGCGTATTGTGTGGAATTGTGTTAAATTTAGTTAAGTGCATTATATTTGATAAATCAGTATCTGAAAGCTTGATTTGAGTACTTTTACATTAAGCCCCAATCACGCAAATCTCTTGAATATCCTGCGACATCCCGCAAATTTAGGTGGATGTCCCGCAAAATCCCGCGAATTTAGATCACTTTGTCTAAAAAAAACTGTCCCCTATGAAGTTTTTGGTGGTAACCCTGTTAACAGTCCCGTAATTAGCGTGTTTGTCCCTCGAATGGTCCCACAAATTTGATCAAAATAGCGCAATCACGCAAATCCTTTGAATGTCCCGCAAAATGCCGCGAATTTAGGTCGATGTCCCGCAAAATCCTGCGAATTTTAGACACTGGGTCTAAAAATCCTGTCCCGCGAGAAAATCTTTGGGGGTTGACAGTACTGAAAGTCGACAAACAAATGACGTCATCAATGGCGGTTTCAAAATTTTCGAAATACGCTTTGAATAATATTATGTTCATTTCTGGCGTGTTAACCAATATCATAGCTTCTCATTTCACATCAAGATAAAGAAAGGTGTACGGAATATGCCTATAGGCATTTTCACGAATAAGTGACACTTTTCAGTATTTTTTTGTAACAGCATCCTTATTTATTCAATTAAAGGTATAAAAGAAAAACAATGCTTTCTAGAAGTTGGTTCCATAATGCTCTTATATGCACATCATGAAAAAATACAATATGTTGATGCTTATTTTAAAAATCAACAAGTAATGACCCAAAATATGCTTTTTTTGGTGTAACAAGCATTTCACTTAAATTGTGACCATGTTTACATGATCACAGAAGAGCTAATATCATAGATAGATAGACAATTTTGATACCAAGTGGTAGCTAAATCATTTATCTTTATTATGTTTTTTAAATTGTTTCAAACACTGTCATATAGCCCAAGTTGTAACCGTTTTTATGTCATGACTACTCTGTAACACTTTTCCATTTTTTGGAGAGGTATTTTATGTTTTTTAATACAGAAAATCTGCAGCTGAGTATTTTCCTTCATATATAATGATTTTGAATAGCTAACATATTCATATATAACTTATAAAAAACTTTTCACTTGGAATTAATTAATCAACAAATAGCAAATAAAAGTTCTGAATCATATTTTAGGAGTCACAAATCATGAGGTGTCCGTAATGGCAAAGTTTCTACAATTTACACAGTACTTATATCTTAACTATTCTTATTTTTTAATGAAATGAACACAACTTATCAATCAAATAATAATTTAACAATGATTGACCTTTTACTTTATGATACAGAAGCAGATATGGTGTCTGAAATGTCGTGAGGTGTCCGTAATGCTACATAGTTTATCAGTTCAAATTGTAAAATTAGCTTACTTTATCCCCAAAATCACTGTTAAATATTTCCTAAGTGTCTCTCTACACATGTTTATTAAATTTAAACTGGTATTGCCACTAAAAATATTTGAAATTTTTTTTACCATAAGCTTCGGGGGTCCATTTTACAAACATCAGTACTGATTAAAAATGAGGCAGAAATGAATTAAAATTGATTTTAAATTCCAAGTCTTTACTAGGCATAATGAGTCCAAACTAGATTTAGTTTATTGAAATAAATGGAAACAAATAAAAAGAATAAATGTTTTTTAAAAAACATTACGGACACCTCAAGCCTATTGATTTAATGTTTATAGCAAAAATAACTTATTTTCAAAGTAGTAATTTTACCTTTATAAGTAAAAATGGAAAAAAACAAAGTATACAGAGAAGGAAAAAGATATTAGGTTAAAAATACAAAACAAGCAAAAGAAATTAAGAGGAAACATGTACCAGAAAGAAAAAAAGAAAAATGTTGCACTTAAAAGGCAATGTATCTATTAGTGATATAGTCTAAATCTTTTAACCCATTGTACTGAAATGAGTTTATACTGAAAACACATTCTGAAATGACTCATGAAGTATCAAAAAAGCATTGCATCAAAAACCATGATATTTGAATTCATATAAATACATTGTACTTTACTTGTACAGTATAGTGGAGATGATGAGTTTTGATCTTTTGTGACAACTAGACCAAAGAACAGCAAGTACCCAAAAACAGAGCAGCAAGGGTGCTTCGAGTTCATTTTGGTTAAATATATGAAAAGCATAATTCATTTTCAATTTTATATATTCATTTTAAATTGTTTGTGTCATTTGATATACACCTTTAAGTTTGTAGTGTAGTCAATTGTTTACCTTGCCTTGTTCTTTCCCTAAGCTTATGTTCATTGATTTGAATTGCCTAACTTGGCGGATATGTGTCTTAAAGCAAGACTAATTTGTTGGACAAAACTAAAACAGTAATATGGTTCCAATAGAACAATATTACCACATAACATTCTCGTCAAAACATACCAAATTGCAACATAAACAAGGGTATAGTAATCAGTGGTAAAGTGAGATTTTTTTTTTTCATGTTATCGATTTATTTCAAATAATAACATAGATGTACAAAGTTAGCTGATTGCCAAAGTTTTGCAACATTAGCGGCAATTAAATAATATAACATAAATGAAATAATAGATATAATATAAAATACAAAAGGTTTACATATATTCTTAATTCCAAATCACTGAATCAAGGAAATCCCATGGGCGGGGATGATGACAAAAAGGAAAGAGCAGAAAAATGAAGAAACGGAACCTGTTGTCACAGACGTGATATGATAGTGAAACTCGTGTATATATAATAACTAACAATATGAATTAATTCTTCATTTGTTGATGCATCTAAATCATCTTTTCCAAAAAGTAAAAATTGTAATTTATCATTCAAATTGTAGCTGTTAAACAGGTTTCCTAAATTGTAAGTATGAAGGCCTGCAATGAGGTTGATTCTTTCATCATGGAGCAGTGGGCAATTTAAAAGAAAATGCAAGGTAGTCAATGGAACACCACATTTACACAAAGGGTCACTAATGTCATTAAAGTTATGTGCATAAAGGTGTGCTTTAAGTAAAAGGCCACACCTGAGTCTATTAAAAGGTATTTCAATATGTCTGGGTAAGGTCACATTCAATTTAGAAGTTGGAATTAAAGAGACTGGGCTCTTGTGTTCTCTTACTAATCTTTTAAACCTAGAAATAGGTTGACCCATTCTAGTATCTGATGGCAAATTATTCCATAAAGTTATAGATTGGAAGATGGTAGTTTTTTTAAAAGAGAAGCTAAGGCGAGTTGGGAGAACATAATCTCTTTGATGTCTTAAGGGGCGGACCGGTATATGTTCATATTTCCGAAGTAAGTCACAAATAAATGGAGGATTAATGTTATACCTGCATTTAAAAGTAAACATGTTTAAGTGCTCAATTCTTCTGGTTGTTAGCTGTTTCCAGTTTAAAGAGTTTAAAACTTTGATAGTATTGGAACCATGTATAGCCCCAGAAACCAGGCAGGCTGCTCTGTAGTGAAGTCTTTCAAGAGCTTGTAATTTCATGTTAGATGCCTTGTTGTAAATGACATCACAATAGTCAAAATGAGGCATAATGTAAGTATTATATAATATCTCTAAGTGCTGACTATTTAGAATTTTACTCAGCTTTATCATCGGTCTCAAAAGAGAAGTAACTCTTTTTATTATCTGGTCAATGTGATAATTAAAGTTAAGGTGAATATCAAAATTAAGGCCAAGATGTTTGTGATTCTCACAGCTAGGAATAAAATCAGCACCTAATCTCAAAGGTGGTGGATGAGATAAAATGTTCCTTCTAGAAAAAATCATATCTGCACTTTTTTGAGCTTTGAATTGCATCTTCCAGGTGGCAGCCCAGAGAGCAAGCTTGTCTAG